ATTTATTGATGCCTTGTAACTTACATCAATACATAATGTGTTTTTTACACATGCTTTAGAGAATACATATATACATATATTAAAAACAATTACGGATACATAACAAAAACACTCGATACAAAATAAAGAAAAAAAAAAGTGTTAAAATACATGAGATCTTGGCATAAATATATTTTTTAATAAAATTAAAAATGCAATACGGACAACTCATTGGATCAATAGTTTAATTCATTTTTTTTCCTAGTATAAATTTTAGCTACATTACTGCAATTAGCAATGCATTCCTTACCTCTTAGTGTAGTTTTTATAAAATGATATGCTCTACACTCCTGCCAGACTTGATTAAAATCAGCTACTTAAGTATTTCTGCATAACTTTTAAATTATTAGTGTTTGAACACTCTAAATAAGTCCTTTGTTGTACACTTATTTTTGTATCATTAGAAAGTCTAATTTCGACAGATGCACAATCTGTTCTATTTGTGTTTAATAACAATTTATGTACTTGGAAAGGATATTTTTGCATCATTAGAATTATTCTTCACTTTCAGGACTTTTTAGAACTTTGAATCATCAAAACAATCTGCAAAATTATTAAAAAAAATAAAGGATTGAATTTGGCTAAATTTCTTATTCCAAGTATTTTAGCTCTTCCCCCCTTTTCTTCCACCTAAATTCAAGGATTATTCTTTTTACCAAGTGAAAGAATTGAAAGCTGCAGCAAACTGATGAAGTTTAAGATGTTTCTCCCATATGCTATAAAAGAACACTGCTTATCAGCATAAAAAATATTATGCCGTCCAACCGATACAGTCACCGATTGTTGTGCCAAAGGGCCCGGGTTTGAATCTCAGAGAAGGCACGGATGTTTGTAAATGTATAGTGTTGATGTGGCATGGTGGCACTCTAAATATGCGGCGAGCAAAAGGTTCTCTTGTGTGGTTTGGTGGAAGGAGAAAGTGGTGGGAGAACCTTGGACCCATCCCACCCGTGTGCTACGCATTAAAATTGGGGGCAAAACTGAGCCAAAGGCAGGCATAATTCTTCGTGGGCTTAGGCCGACTACATCAGACAAGTGAGCATAAGCAACAACAACAACAAAAATATATGGAAAATAATCTAAACTTCTAAGAGAAATATTATTAACATTTAAATCATCAGTACAATTAATAAAAATGTTTGTAATGCCGTATAATATTTATAAATTAATAATGACATTTCTTCATGTATATAATTACTGTCTGCATAAAAACTAATGTTTAATAAGATGGTTAAATTCTGTAGTGATATAAAAATTGAAATTTTCTCTTTAAAAATTTTTTTTTGTTGAAAACTATTGTACTTTTTAATAAACTTTTGACAATTGAATATTTATACTTTTTTCACTTATTTAAGCAATGGTAGAGATTTGATTTTATCATATGGCAACAGTATGCATTATTTTTAATCCCAAAAGTGAAATATTCATTCGCTGGTGATATGTATTTCAGTACAGTTCAGTTTATAGGATTCATAATCTTTGCAATTCTTTTGTTTTGCCTATGTATTTTTCATTGTAAAATAATTCTGTTTCATATTTTTTTTTGAAGTTTATATATCATATGCATCTACTAACACTGGTCTTGGCTAAAAAATTAATTTTTTTTTCTTACCAAGCTGTATTGTATGTCTAGAAGCTTTCACGGGTTACTTTTATTGTAGTTTTATTTCCTTAAAAACAGTGCTTTAGTCATACGACTGAACAATACACAATTTAACCACACTGTATTTAAAATTTGCTGCCAAAAGAATCTCTCCCCCCTTACATCTTGCATTTTCTGGTTCTGCATGACAATAACCTCAAATTGCATGCAAGCTGAATGCATCTAAAGGCAGTTATTGGACCAGTTTTTTTTTTTTTTTTTTTTTTTTTTTTTTTTAAGAAACAATATGAAAAGTTCCCATCTCTCCTCCCAAGAAAATAAATTTCTTTAACTAAATTTTATTTACTAAATATGTGAACAGTAATATTGATAAAGGAAAGAAATTCAAATTTTTACTTATTTTCATTCCAAAATCTGATGTTGGTTACACTATGTAATTAAAAAATATTGACAGCTTAACATTAAATTTTCAAGCTGGCATTTATTACGAAATCTTCTCAAAGAGACAATACTTAAGAAAAACAATGACATTCTTTTCTCTGTCTTTTAATCATTAAATTTTTCTTCGATGTATAGTAAAAAAATGTACTTGCAGGTAAATAATGATTAACTTCTTTATTTCTTACTATAACTTTCAGCTACAGCACTCTGATAGCTTTCTGATTTTAATAAAGTTTGTAAATTTAGAGAAAATTACTAAAATCTATCTTCATCGCAAACTGTAAATGTTAATCACTCAAACTGGTTCTTTGGCAAGACTTATTAATTTTCAAGTCCGGGGGGGAACTTTTTACATGTACATATACTTCCAAACAAAGCTATTACTCTCATAAAAATTTGAAAATGAGGGTATTTTTCTTTTGACAAACACAGATAAAAGTTAATCAAACCTATATCTTCAGAGTTTTGAGTAAGATTTATATTGCAGTGGAAATTAATCAGCTGTATTAGCAGATTTTTTTTTGGCATTACATTCGTTTCTGATAATGAAAATAATGCAAAAGTGGACTTCAAATCATTGAAATTTTAAAACTTCTGTTCTTCAAATAATATCATAACAATTCTGGTTAATTTATAAGAAATGTATTCATAGACCATGTAAAATTGCTTCGTGGACCACAGACAGCCTCCCAGTTTGAGACCATATTAATAGTGATTATTACCATTTACAGCAGGCTTTGCTTTTCAAATTTCTAATCAAGATACTTTTTATCTGTTTGATAGTATGGTTGTTTACCTGTATCTGCCGATTCAGTACTCGAAGTTCCACTTATCCATAATTCAGAACGGCCGAGGGGAAAAAATTATGACAAGTTTGGAACTTATACATTTCTAAAGGCAAGGAAAGGTGATAACAGTTTGCAACATAGCATCTCAAACACACCAAATACTGCCTTTTCATACAGTGCACAATGATTTGGGACTACTGTAACCAAATGCGGAAATGTTATTCTCAGATACAGGAACCCCTTACACATGGAGCTCATAGCTGAATTAGCTGATCGTGATTCCCTATCAATATACTTTAGGGAATCTCTGTCATCATCGGGCAGAAAATATTTACTGCAGCTTAGTTTTCATATCCATACATTTTTTTTTCCACTTTGGCTTCTAACATTCACTCTGTTCTCATTAACAACATATTACTGCAGCCTTTCCTCTTTAAAGTTCTGTTTATCAGGAGAAGAATCTCAAGATGCAACAAGCATAAAAAACAGCTAATGTTGGGACATTAGTTCTAGAAAATAATATTGTTAGCACAGTGAATAATTCTTATTCTACCCTTCTTTAAAACTATATATTTTGCTGTACAACATAAAAACTGGGTTTTTCCATTTCTTTCTCACCTTTTTCATTAATACATAATGATTTGTTTTTGTACTATTTCGTTACATTTGGACAAGAGCTGCGTAGAGGAGTGATTCAGAGTTTTCGGGTGAACAGTTAAAATTAAATACACTCATGTTCATAAATTAAGGATAGTTCGGAGTCACGCGGAAATCAACCTCTAAAATAAATATATCACCTGTAAAATCACTACACACATCTTCAAGAATCATATGCAAATTTCAGAAAGTAACCAGATGACACTGATGGTACATCACAATGACAACAGTGCGAGAGAGTGATATATAAGGAATACAGGCAAAGAAGTAAAATTGTTCGCAGGCGCTTTATAAGCATTTCAGTGCAATAACCGAATAGTTATGACACAAAGGACGCATTTGGATGATTTTTTACGTGGTAGAATTATCGGCCGTCTGGAATGTGGGCGTACCCAACTGGAAGTATCAGACGAACTTGGAATTGCCCAGAGTGTCATCTCCAGGCTTTGGCAACGATTCCAAGATGATGGTAATGTGAGTAGACGTTACAGCACACAGGTCGCCCCAGAGTTACAACGCCGAATGAGGACCGGTATTTGGCAGTTACTGCCAAAAGAAACAGGCGGAGCACAGCCTCAGACCTGTCTCGTCAGCTCTCTTCAGCCACTGGTACGACAATTTCAAGGCAGACCGTGTACAGACGCTTAGGGCAGATTGGTCTATATGCTCGTAGACCTGTCAGATGCGTTCCACTTACTGCAACTCACTGTCGCCTGCGGTTAGCCTGGAGTAGAGAGCATGCATTGTGGACACCGCAACAGTGGGCTTGTGTGATGTTTTCCGACGAGTCCAGGTTTAGCTTGCAGTCTGATTCTCGCCGGACTTTCATATGGAGAGCTCCAGGTACCGTTACCACCAAGAAAACATCATTGAACGACACCGTTACGGTGGTGCAGGAGTGCTCGTTTGGGGTGGAATTATTCTGGGTTCCAGAACTGACCTGCATGTTCAAATTGGAACCATGACAAGCCAAATCTATCGGGACGTCATTCTGGAACAACATGTACGTTTGTTTCGGGGCGCCATGGGCGCACAATTTGTGTTTATGGATGACAACGCCCGTCCTCACCGTGAAAACATCGTAAGCGAATGCCTTCAATCGGAGGATATCACCCGTATGGACTGGCCAGCATTCTCACCGGACTTGAATCCAGTAGAGCACGTGTGGGACATGCTTGGCCGACGAGTTGCAGCCCGTCAACCTCCTTCTACATGTCTACCGGAACTTCGGAGAGCATTGCTTTTTGAGTGATGTAATATCCCCCAAGATCAGATCGATAATTTGATACTCAGCATGCCTAGGCGTTGTACGGACTGTATTGCATCGTCTGGGAGACATACAATGTATTAACAATCATACCAATCATGTAATATTGTTTTTTTGTAAATAGGTTTTTCTTTGTAATTTGCTCCAGGAAGGGGGGGAAAATCGCTAATTTTTTTAATAATATCAAACATATAACATCTTTTTTTTGCTCTTTACCTTTCGTTTAATAAATAAGCTTTACAAATAAGTCAAATTTGTTTTGCTTCTAACTCTTCCTTTGTCTGATTTTGCATTATCCTTAATTTATGGACATGAGTGTAAAATAAAGGAACCAGAAATGCTATGTGGCACATAGGGAATTCAGAATGTTAGCCAATCTACGATTGCAGATTCGAGGAACTTTGATGCATTTATTAGCTTTCATTCTTATAAAATAGGATTTTAAATATATATTTTAATCTAAATATAGGATTTAGCTGCCACAAAATTTTAAATTATTTTAAACTGAATTTTATTGCTTTAAAAATGTTACAGTATAAAAAATATATTTACAAACATACCAATTATGATCACATGCAGACTAATTTACAGACACTGAAATAAATAATTAAAAGTTAAGCATGTCTTGATTGCTTCTTATCAATAGTTTTGAGTAAATTAAAAAAAATCAAGATAAATATTTGGAAATATATCTAATTAAATATGAAACTTAGGCAAATCATGAAAAGAATAAAAATAACCTAAGAGAAAATTATCACAGCTATTTTTCTACCAATTTTATTAAAAACCTTTACACAATACAGTTCTAAATTTATAATGCATATTCTTAATGAAATCAGTTGAAAAATATGATTTCAAAACTAAATTCTTTACACAAAACTGTTATTGATTAAAATATAATTTTCATTGCATATCTCTAATAAAAACACAAGGTCAAGTTTTTTTTTTTTTTTAACAAGTAATTCAAATGATTAGAAAGGAGTTATCAGGATAACCTTTAACAGTAGTACTGTATTTTATGAAGAATATAAAATGTAACACAAAAATTTATTATTATTTATAGCTTTAAACTTCAGCAATATTACTTATTTACAAATTAATAATCACTAAATAATGTACAAAACACGCAAGATTCCGTATGTACAAGTAAAATTCCCTACATATTCAGATCTTTATAAATATTGCAATACATATAGTAGGTATATCATGTTCTTAAGGCAATTTAGAACATTAAGCTCTTAAAAAAAAATATTTCCTGAAAACTGGTATTTAACTATATAATTTACACAATTCAGAGAATTTGTTCCAATTTTTTAATAACAAAACATATAGATATGTATTTACATACAATTTTACAGAATTAAGTTTAAAAATAAAGAACTTTGTATTCTAATGAAATGGTGATATTATACTGATTATAAATAACAGGGAAGGTTCAGGTTTCCATTCAAAAATTAACTACAAAACTTAAATTCATACTTTTTATAATTTTTAAATACACTAAAAAATCTGTCTTAATTCCTATACAATTCTATTAAAAACAATTCAAAATAATTTTAACACATAAAATGCAATTTCAAACATCATTTTAATACACTTGTTCCCTTATGATCAACATTTCATTTCAAAAACTTATTTGGGTTTTTCCTTTTTCAATTAAAGTTTGATTTGCCCGTTACCTTGGAAAATAAATAGAAGCACATTAACTCCAGAATTTAAAATGCTTTCTGAAATAAGCAGTTAAATTTGATTTTATGAAAATATATACTTTAAGTATTTTAAATTTTATTATAATTTGCTTTTTAAAGACCTATGAAAGGGAAAAACTAATATAAAAAAAAAGTTACACCAAAAATATTATAAATAAGCAATTAAAAACTTTTTTTAACATTTAAAATTTTATTAAAGTTTCATGTCATTTTTATGTCTATGGAATTCTTTAACGAATAATTATAGACATTGAACACATTTCTTTATGCATTGTTTTTAATATATAAATTTTCTTAAATTAAAATATAATTAAGAATAAGTAATATTATCACAAAAAAGGACTTTTTTCCTTATTATGCATTTGTCTTAAAAATAATCAAATCATTAGGAATATCACATTAGTTAACACATGTAGTCACCTGAGGACGGCAGTATGAAGTTATATTAAGTACACACTTTAGGTCATGCACCTACAGGTGGGCATTCATATTTGAAAATAACAGAAAACATCTCTCCGCCAAGCCGAGCAGCGAGCCATTGGTTTTTCAGAACAGCAGCTTTAATTGATTCACATCTGAATTTAGCATTTAAGTTTGTATGAACTGCACGCCCCATTCCTTCAAGCACAATGAGATCAGTTTCATTACTTTCCATTGCTTCTGCAACTTCAAGATTCAAACGGCTAAAAATATAAATATTTATGCTTAAAATACAGCAGAAGGAATATAATAATCAATTATGTCATTCATTTTCTGAAATGTCTGCAAAAGGATGTTAATTTATAATGGTCAATCAATGGAAGTTTTAGCCAAAAAAATTAAGCAAAAACAAATTTTCATCCAATTATGATGCATTTCCCTTAAACATGCCCCCCAAAGTATACAAATCATATATAGGAATTTTAATAATATTAATAATTAAAAAAAATAATAATAATTAAAAGAATATTAACAAATTTAGAATTGTAAATATACTATTAAAAGCTGATTACAAATTACAATACAATTATGTTTTAACTATATTTTCTAATGCAGAAAAAATGATTACGACTTGTAGTAATATATGGACATTATGAAGTATATATAAATAAAATAATAAACTAATGCCACTCAGAAATATTAAAAAAAAACTAAAAATTTAAATATTAGCTAAATTTTACAAATAATTTAAATATAAAAACATGAAGATATGACTTTTTACCTCCCTAGCTCTTTCAGATACACATATGCATGAATTATCAATTAAAATGAAAGACTTATGCTATTGGCAATGTATGAAAGCTGGCATTCTATAGAATTCTGAAAACTAGCCGGCAGTGTTTGAAATGATTAACGTTTCATACATTTCCTAGGCATTCTATAACATGCCAAATGATAAATGTACAAAATACATCTCTAATTCATTTTGACTATAACATTTTGTTTCTGATACCAGATGTGTGTGCTTAAAAGAAATTCTGTGATGCAAATGCATGCACAAAAAGTTATTAAAAAATTCATATCTTCTATGGCCACGCTAGTGAAGATGACGAAATGGGTATTTTGTACACTCCTTGTTTCAAAACTGAAAATGCTATTGTAAGTAAAATTATTTCAAAAATCAATGCAGAAATATAAACAAAAATAAAAACGAACTGAGAAAAAAAATTTCCCACTGCTTCTTTGGAACTTTTCTACTGTGAGAGTTCCCATTTCTGACATCAACACAGGACAAAGTGATTTGTGCAATATATTGGTAGTTATAATGAATGTGTTAGTGGACAGTTTCTTCTGACGGAATTTTAAAACATGAGATCACAATTCGCTTTATACTCTAAGAACATGCTTATAATTAAAGATATTCCTGACCACAAAATTCCTTTCTGGTCAGTTGCAATTGCTCTCCAGTAAAAGTGGCCATAGATTTGTCAAGTGTATAAGTAAAACAAAGTGCCAAAATACTATGAAATGTCTTTGTGTGGAAAAAGTAATTAAGTGTAATCAAAATGTCACTCAAGTTTACCACGTTACAAAAAACAGGTTAAATTGCTTAACTTTTATAGGAAAATTTTGTTTTCTTTAATAAGAGACGCATAACTTTTGTTTTGTACAGCTTTTATTTTTTTATATATTCTGAAAACATTTTTAACGACACTATTTTTTCAAAATAACATTTGCATTTCTGAGAATGCTTGTCTTTAATAATAGCTCTATCATGATCTTTTTTTTTTAATCCTTTGCCTAAATAATATTTTTCATTCTATATAATGCCTAAGGAAAGTATACTAATTTTCATATTTCCTACTTTGCCTAAAAATGCTAAGCATTCTAGAAAATTCCTAGATATTCTATAGAATGGCGGCATTTCATGCATTGATGGTACTATACATATTGAAAATTCCACACTCTCAATATTATTAATAATAATAACAGCAATAACAACCTGAGGTCTAAGCATGGTGAACCCTGTCCAGAATCCAAAATTTTTAATTTGCAACTACTTAAAGCATCTTTTACATCTGTTATAATAGCAGCAACTTTACGCATCAAAACTTTTAACTCTTGATAAGTCACATCATTTAAGGCAGGTTTAGAATTTGCACACAGTAAAACCTGAAATTTAAAATATGTTAATACAAGGCAATAAAGAAATTAAACAACATAATCTTAGAACTAATAATAAACTATAAGAAAGAGTGGAAAGCAAGATCATTTCTGTACATGTCAGTATTCATTTACCATTTATCAGCTCGTTATGTACTTCAAAGTCGTGCAAAGGTATTTTAAAGCGGTTTGTTTACTTTTAAATAATTATTTATTTTTGTAATTTTGAGTGAAATTGCCAGGAAAATACCAGAAAAGGTACACATCCGGCATTAAATGCTTTTCGAGTTTTACAGGGGTAGTAATGCAACAGTTGCTACCAAATATATTTGTGATGTTTATCCAAGTTCATTAGATGTTTAAAATGCCAAAGGTGGTTTTCTGAATTAAGATCCAGCAATTCTGATCTTTCAAACTCATACTGATCAGCAAGACCGACAGTTTTAAACAATGGCACATTATGGGTTGAAGTGGAAGCAAATCTGACGTAGACAATCTAAGAACTGGCAAACACTCTTAACTAACCTTGGTTGGCCACTCAAGAACATTTGCAGCAGATTGGTAAAGTAAGCAGAGCAAGTGTTCGAGTCTTACATAATCGGTTTGAAGAAAACAAATCTAACTAGTTTACCACATGCAAATTATTGCTTCAACATCATAATACTGAACTGCTTTTTGATCACTTAATCACTGGGAATGAAAAATGAGTCTTATGACAATGCAAAACGCAAAAAGAAGTGTCTTTCTCTAAATGAACTATCACAAAGAACTACTAAGCCAGATTTCCATCCCCCAAAAGATGCTTTTGGGTGTTTGGTGGAGTATTCGTGGAATCATTCATTTTGAAGCACTGAAACCTGGACAAAGTATGAATGTGGACTTATCATGAATGACTGGATTGAGTAAATCAATCTTTAATTGAAAAGTCTCCACTGATTATCAACAGGAAAGGTATTATTCTGCAACATGAAAATGTAAGACTGCAATGCGCCAAGACGAACCCCGGAAAAAATGAATGAATTGCACTGCCTCATCCACTGAACTCACCTGACATTATGCAATTGAATTTTAATTTATTCCGATCACTACACATCACTTTCTACATGACAAAAAATTTGAAAATTGGATGAAACTGAAATACAATCTCTAGATATTTGTCTCAAAAACCAATCTATTTTTATAGATTCGGCATTGAAAATTTGCACACAGATGGCAAAATGCTGTTGATAACGAGGGTGGTTACAACACCAATTAAAAATAAAAACTTGTTAAATATTTATTTGACTTTAATGCAAAAATTACTTTCCAATCGCCCTTTATATTAAATATGTTTTTAAATGAAATTGATGAATCTGAGTGCAATATATGTTCATTAAATGTATATCCATGACACTGTTATGTTTATAATTTTGATTTCATAATTTTTGCAGTTTTTACTCAATTAACCAGTTACTGGAAAAGTATAAAAGGAGAAATGTTTTTAAAATAAAATATTTTTGGCTTGTTCTTTAAGAATGTTTAAATCTGGCCCAAACATCATTTTTTTAAAATAAAATATTTTTGGCTTGTTCCTTAAATACATGACAAATATCATATCATGACATATATATGCATATCTATTGATATTCTCCCACTAATGAACACATTCAAACACATTCTCCCACTAATGAATTTTCCTTTATTACATATTCATAAACAATTTATTTTGAAATTTCAAGTGATTTTCATATTAAGAAATTTGATAGATATTTAAAGTACCCCTAAAGTAAATATATAATATAGTAAGTAATAATATATTATGTTTTTACTGAAACAAGTCACTTTAAAAATCTTTTTCACTTAAAATACTGAATATTATCCTTCTGGCAGCTGAAATAAATGATTATATTTCCAATATGTAAAATGTGAAGGGAGTAGCATACACACATGTATTTTTTAACAAATATTCTTTTGAACACTTATGCATAAATGGTTAATATAATGGAGCAAAAAATAATAAAACTGTTTTGCTCAAGGTATCTCTGTAGGTTACTGATAGAATTGTATAAAAGCTTCATAATATAAAAATAACTCTTATGTAGTACTTGTGAAAAACCACAATTACAAAATAATAACTAAAAAATAATATACTAACATACAAGTACTTTAACTAGTTTTCAAAGGCAATATTATAAAATTCATTATTTAAGATGAAAAAGTAAACTAAACAAAGCCAGAAAAAATAGTTCAGTTATGCCCTCATATCTATTGATTCAATATCTGGCCCATTTTCAAATTTTTCTTACATATGTTGTCCCAAAAGAAAAAAAGGAAAATTCAAGGTAAATTATATTTAAAGTTTAATTTGAGCAATGCATTGATGGCTATAAATATATTGTTACAATTTAAAATAGATAAAAAAAAATCAATTGAAATTTTTTAGATATAAATCCTAAAAAAATTTATCATGGGCAAAATTGCCTGTCCTTTTCAAGATTTATGTTATTCAACCTCTGATTTTTTTAACCTAATTAATTTTTTTAAATAAAGAAGTTTAATTATGTTAAACATGAACTATTAGTGTGTTATATTCATGATAAAAATTAATTACAGAAGTATTTTTCTTTAGCAAATCAATAAAAAAATAATTTTCTTCCTTTTCATGTCAAGTCCGTTACATTGAGATTATTTTACCCCCGATTCGTTTGTAAATCTGCCTAAAAAGGGCAGTACATATTCAATGACATAGATAAAGTAGTCAAGCTAAGTTTGACTACTTTGAATATGTACTACACCCTTTAGGTAGATTTAAAAACTAATTACGGATACAATAATCTCAAGGTAACGGAGTTGACATGAAGTGGAAGACAAATTATTTTTATTAATTTGCTAAATTTATATCTAAAAATTTTGATTTGATTTTTTCATATTTTAAATTGTAGAAATATATTTATAGTAATCTTTATACAATGCACTGGTCAAATTAAACTTTAAATATTAATTTATCTTGAATTTTCTTCCTTTTCTTTGGGACAGCATATGTAAGTAAAATTTGAAAATTGGCCATCTTCAGTTTATTATTCAGTTAAAATTTAAATTTGTCCAGAAAGAAGAGGATAAATTTTTGCCAAGCAAGAATGTGCTGTAACATGGTAAAATTCAGCAGGCATCCCTTGAAACAGTATATGAAGTAATGCAGAAATAATTAGTCTAAAAGATCAGAATCCTTTACTTTCATTTTTCTAAGACAGAATTTTAAATACGTAATATTACATGTAATATATTTTATTTATGATCATTTAATGCTAATAATGTATTACTTCACTAATTTATCATTACATTTTATATTACAGTACAAAGTCTGTAATCCGGACGTCCATTACCCAGAATGATCTATAATCCGGACCTCAAAGCCACAAACTTTTTTGTATGCTTTAGGCATGCGCGTTTAATGTTTAGCACAAAAAGCAACTTAAACAACTTACATTGAAAGAAATGTTTAATAAAGTAAACAAATAAATATTAAGCTTTTTTTTTGTAAATTTTGATAACCTTTAGATCCTAATTGCTCTTTATTTTAGAAATTAGTTTCATATTTTTAATTGTATAATTTTTGCATGCCATCTTACCAGATTTAAATTGATGATCTATAAATCTGGAAAAACCCTTAATTCAGAATCACTGAAGTCCCGACGAGTCCGGATTATGGACTTTGTATTGTATTTATATAGCATGCGAATATTACATCATATACGGTGACTTGTCATTCTTTCCAGGATTTTAAAATTTATAATATAATAACCATGAGAAAGCTGCACATCACTGTATCACTCTATTTTTATATGAAGAATTTCATTAAATTCTAAATGTATTTTACAGGTATTTGACATGAGTAACTCTCATGAAACTGCAGACTTTGATCCTAGCCGACTATCCTAGCTAACCTGCTCATTTAGCATTGCACAAGCAACCAGGCTTCTTAAACACTCCTAGAAATTAAATCTACAATTATATGATCAGACCTATTATGAATAGAAACTTAAGATGAATTTTTTGCACACTGTTGCGCACACTTTTGTAATATGCATTTGCTATAGATATTTTACTATAAACTTTTGAAGGCCAGAAAGAATTATAAATCACCTTGCATTTACTGCTTCATGCAACTGTAGAATGTTTTGAAATATATTACTCAGAGCTTCGTTTTGTATTCTGCCTTGCCATCAGAAATTAAAAAAAAAAAAAAAAAAAAAAAAAAAAAAAAAAAGGGCCCATGCAGGGAACCACCACCATATTTGCTTTAAGTTTCATAATTTTACATAAGAAAGGACTATAATAACCTGATAAACCTTACTTTAGTTTCTCTTTTCAAAAGCTCCAGAGCAAATGGTATTACACCTAAAACAACATCCATTCCACTGTTGTCTACAAATATAGCTGCACATTTGTGAGGCTTGCCTTTCAAACGTTCAATCCAACCATCTAAATCATCTATGAGCCATGGCCTAGCTAAAAGTGAAATAAAATTAAAAAAGAATAAAATCAGTTAATGCAACATGAAAATTCTTTCTCAATTGTACCTTCTAACTTTTCCTTGGCATCAGTAAAACCAAAATCTGAGCCTTCCATCACTTTTGCAACTTCTTTAGCACCCCAGTCAAAGACATTACCAGCTAAAAGGCCTACAACCAAGGCTTCTTGTCTCTCACTCCAATTCATTGCATTAAGAGTATCTATTCGACCTTTCAGAAGTTTCAAAGCCTGTTCATTTTCCAAACGTTTTTGCTAGGGGGAAAAAAAATCTATTTAAAGCACCAAATAAGTGTATCAACTTCTATGAATAGAAAAAAGCATACTTGGAAAAGCTGACCCCAGAAAAGAAACATCAAATGATATTTTGGAATTATTTTGAAACAAATTAATGAAGAAAAAAACTATTGCATTTTTGGCATCCTAGAAAATCATTACAGTTGGCACTCCATATGAATTAAACATTTTAATATTTCAAACCATTATACAACCTTAATTAAAAATACAGCATTTTTGAGATTGAAAATCTATTATAAATACAACTAATTATACATTTATTTGTAAGCAGCAACTTTTTTTTCACTGTTTCTGACCAATTCAGAAATGACATTCTGAAAGCTGTCTATGAAAATTCATTGCTTTAAGAGTATCTATTTTACCCTATGTCTTCATAATTTATATCATTGCATTTTATCATACTTTTTACTGTACCCTCATTTGTCATTTGCATTACAGCACATACAATTTGGCCAACAGAGCTGCAACCCTGAGCAGAAGCTGTATGCATAGTTTGGACCAATATATTTATGAAATAAAGCAAAGGAGTGCAATTCATTGGATGAAAAGATAAGAAATATTGAATTGTAATAATCCTGTTGGGTGAGCTGAAATCTTTTTGTAAAGTTTCTAGCAAAATTTGAATTGGCAGTAAGGGTTCTTTCTGATTATTCGTACCCTTCCTAAAAGTATTCATGTGCATTTTGTCACCAAGGTAGGCAAACCATGACATCATCAAAATGTATTTATGCGGCAACCTAGGTGTATGCATATGCAGACAGCATACTGTGGAGTTTGCTGCCAGATGAAAGAGAAAGCATTGCATTTCTTCAGAAACATGGCATTTTGTACAATAGAATGCAAAAATTCACATGCTATGAAATTGTACTTCTTAAATGATCAAATTCTATGGATCAAACTTTCTGCAATTTTCAGAGTTTCGTCTATAATGAAGACATATTATTATGTATATGAAAGGACAGCTTGCATAATGCCAAATCTGAACAATTCTTTTTTACAGCTAAAACAGTTTAATGTCTACATGAGAAAAACAACAGCATGAGAGAAAAGAAAAAATTAAATACAGATTTCTTGAAAAAAGTAAGGATTTTATTATGGATGTTTCTTGCGTTTTAAATTTTATCGATTCACTGCTTGTTTATACAATTCTTAGTGCACAGCCATTCTGGATATGGCTGTTGCTTTCGAAAAGTAACTTGGCAACTTTTCGGAAGAGTGCGTGGATAATCAGAAAATACCACAGTTAAGTAGCAAATTTTTGTAATTTTCTGATAATCAGTTTCTATCCAGTTTTTCAAGCTCATAAAGAAATGACCATATCCGAGTTCTTTAAATCAATACTTCATTGAAGGAAGTATGATCTATAAATTGGACTGAAGATTTTAACGGAAGAAAAATTTTGAAACTGGTTTTTAGGATTTACAAGAGTACTGTTGGAATTTTTAATAACTGGACATTTGCTACTATCGTTGACTTCTAACATTTAGAATACATGTTCAAATCTAACATTTTTGCCATATTTTGAGCCTTAAACATACTGTTTTTCACTCCACTATGTCTATAATGATTCATAGATTTCTATTAAAGTTAGACTGCTTAAAATTTCAACACTAAATTAAAAAATAGCCTTTCTGAGCACCATTCTTAATGGCAGAGTATTTTGCTGCTACTGCACAAAAACATCATGGTTTCTGACAACAATCTAGTTAGTGCTTTTGAAAAATTTGTTGCTATGTGGTTGTTTATTTTTGGGGCTGAGCCTGAACAAAAACATTTCATCTAAACATTTTTTTTTTTCTCTCTCAGCATTTTTCTTAAATCTTTTCTTACTTGTAAATATGGATCAGGGAAGTCAAATTCATTAAGGCAATGCTCCCGCATATCTAGTAGACTTCTCACAGTTAAAGAGCCATAAGCACTGTGGAAAAAAAAAAATGCAGACAGTCAGGTAAAACAGCAGACAATTTCCTACATATATTACACTTAAATGTATATGCACTAATATATGCATTTACAAAAACAAGAATTTATTCATATACTATAAATTAAAATAAAAAATATTAATATTTAAGAGTTATAAATAATACATACATAATGTAATGTTTATTTCATTTAGTTTCAAATTATAAAATTATTTAATGGAAAAAATAAAAAGAAACAGTAATTTACAATATAGAAATATATCATAAGAGGAAATACTTCAATAAATCAAAGAGCAAGATAAAATATATGCATTAAATGCATTCTTTGGTTAAAAATACAGCTTTATGAAAATGTATTCCATAGTTTTTTAAACATCCTAGAATAATATTTTACTCTTCATTGATAAAACATAAAAATAGTAAGTTATAAATTTATGGAATGTATACAACATGAATTTACTTGTTGCAATAATGATTCTATTCTAGCATTTTTAACACATGAATAAAGAATATCTTTCTCAAAGCAACATTCACAAACTTTTGGTTTCCACAAGTTGATAGTTTTTGGTATAGACAAAAGATGAAATATTGTTTTACATATAAATTTAAATAAATAATAATATTCATAATATAAGTAACAAAATGGTGAAAATGAAGGCAAAATAACTAGTCAAAACTTCTGTTTATTGTCCACTTACATATTTCTCGGTGTTTAACCAATTTCTACATCTTTTCGTCCGATTTTCTTTTAAATTCCTTTTTATATACATAGAGTAAAATAGATACAAGAAAAAATATGACAGCTTTCAGATTTTATATTACACCCAAAGTGGTGTTTATTATACTTTTGTGCATTACCTTTGTTTATTAAATATCATGTTCTTCACACTTAAAACACATAAAATTCAATTCAACAGCAAAATCACAAAATACTTAAAAACAGCATATCTTTAAAATTTTCGATACACAGTCTCGTGCACATGAGATAAATAAGTTTTCCCCCCATACAGTGTTGCAATGCTCATCTTGAAATTGTTGAGTTTGTTAATATAATTTGTTAAAGTTTTACAAAATTTTAAATAGATAATAAATTAAATCTGAAATTCAAAATTTGGGCTTCCAAGTGCCCATGTTCGGTTGGAGGAGACTGTTATTCAAAATTTGATGGCTCTAAGTACCGTTGTTTCTTCACAAAGTGAGAAACATTCATGCATATTCTTCATTATTTAGTTTCTTTGAATATAATATGGCGATAATATTTGGCGGCAACAGTTTGAAAAGTGAATCAACACAAAATGATGCTTATAAATTAATAGGCCTTCTGGGCTAATTATTTAAAAATAATAATGCTAACAATCTCCTTAGTAGATTAAAAGCTTTTAAAAATAAAGGATTGAATATAATAAATAAGTAAAGATACAACCAAGCTTTCCTGTAGCTGATTCACTTGCATATTGATTTACAATTTATTAAGCGTTTACATATATATAAGGCAAAAATGCACTTGTTGGTTACAAAAGTAACAGAAGATCACAATATAGCAAGTCTGAATAGAAACCTGTTTTAAAAATGACATTTATTCAGTAAAAGCCTTTGAATGCAATTATGCAGTGTAACATACTTATGCAAAAGAATTAGAATGTAAAATTAATCACATTATACAAAAAGACCCCCAAGTTCTAAATTTGTGGAACATATACAACATGAATAATTTGTTACAATAATGATTCTATTCCTGCATTTTTAACACCTGAAGAATTTATACAGAGTACTTTTCTCAGCAACATTCACAAACCTTTGGTTTCCTTAAGTTGATAGTTTCTGCTACAGACAGAAGACTAAATATTGTTTTGCATATAAATTATAAATAATAATACTCATAATATAAGTAATAAAATGATGAAAATGAAAGTAAAATAACTAATCAAACTTCTGTTTTATTACCCACTTACACATTTCTTAAGCAACATTCAATATTAGCATTCAGTCTTTATTGTACAACTTATTAGTACACAAAAGAATGACCATTTTCTGAAAATTGATTTATCCAGAAGGTACTCTCCATAGTTCTTAACTACATATTTAGCTTGTACACACCATAATAAAAAACATAAAAGTACATTATTCACGTTTTAGATTAACTGATATTGCTCCTAAATTTGAATTTTAATATTACAAAGCAATTTACTTACAAAGGATGTGTTCTTAAATGTTGTAAGCGGCTGATATATTTTTCTTTGAAGATTTTCGCCCTGTGTTGAGCATCTGCATGATGTATTTGGCTCTGTATAGCTCTCTCTACAAACTTAAATAAGTTTCTTTCAGTTATAAGAAAACATATTAAAATTCATATTAATTCATATTCATATTAAAATGTTACATAAAAAAAGAGAAATATAAACATAAGATAATTAAATTTAAATCAAACTAAATTTGAAATCTTTAAAAATTTTTAAGGTAATTTAAAAGCAATCAACACTATATGTTAAAATTTTTATATTACAAATCATAAATTATGAAATGAGCATATATATATACACATTTCATTGATAATGAATGCTATAGGGGATATTTATAATGCCAATAAGGGATAAATTTTCCATAAAAATGTTTTTGACAGTCCTCATACTATCACAAAACTATATAATTTCAATATACATACTCTGTTTCTAAAAACTTCTTGAAACCACTTACAGTAGATAATACAAATGCAATACTTCTTTAACTTCCAGCACGCGCATATGCACAAAATTATGACAAATTCAGTTTTTAACGCACATTTTTCGCATATCGAAGATGAGACGTCTGAAGGTGATTTCTATTCCTCCTTTCTACAGGAACATTTGACTGTTGGCACAGTCAGCCTTTCTACAGGAACTACTACCCGTCTTTTTACAGGAGCATTTGACTGTATCCTGCTTTCTACAGAAACATTTGACTGTATCCTGCCTTTCTACAGAAACATTTGATTGTGCCAACAGGAATTCAAAGTTTACGACACGCACGTGCTTGTGGGTGAAAATTCGGAAAATACTTTTTTCTCAAATATTTTGTAATTTTGTGTTATTAATTGCAATGTATTATTTTAATTTGAATACATTTGGCTCTGTAAATTTTATATCAATTTTCATGGCAAAAAAATATGTGCAACCAGCTGATTTTGCTCGGATTCTCAAGAATTATCTGACGAAGAAAAGGAAACCTTTGGATGGGAGAACAATAGCGATTTCCATTCCTTATTTTTTGTTTATTTCTACTTTTTAGAAATAAATAAAAATATTAAAGTTAGTTTAAACTAACGTGCGTTAGTGCGTTTTTGTAACCAGTAAGAAGTAAATAATGCTAAACTTTTTTTCCTACCAAGGCGTTTTCCTTTTTTTATTTGTCTATATTTGTCTTTGATGAATATTAAAATTAACCTCAATTTTAAAATATAATTATTAAATAATAAATTAAAAATTTTCTATAGTGAAATACATTATTGCATTTCCATCTCACTAACATAAGAACTTAAAAATAATTTACTTATATTTGAATGTGATATCATTTGTAATTTGCAACAAGATTAATATTTTATTTCTTAACTAATTTATTATCAACATTCACTCATTTCTGTCATTTTTCGTGCCAAAAACGGTAAAATAACGGATGAATTCGTAAAAAATACGATGCGCTCGTGCTCATGTAGAATTTCCAAGCACGCGTGCTGGAAGGTTAAAACAGCAGTGAGGACTTTGCACGAATCTTCCAAAACAATAGCTATATAAATGTAGTATATGTATTTATACATTATACATATTTATCTTTTTATTCAAGTAAAACATTTTAGTTTTATTAGTTTTACTGAAGTTTTTATTCAAGTAAACATCAAATATTACATCGATTTTTTAAAACTAACAAAAAAAAAAAAAAAAAAAAAAAAAAAAAAAAAAAAAATAAATAATAAATCAGATTTTAATGTTTACCTAAATAAAGTCTGTTCAAGTTTTTACATTCTCACTGAGCTTGCAGTCTACGATTCTGCCGTTACATTCACTCTTGCTAACCCATTTCTTTTTTGTCTTTTCAACTTTATTATTACAACATACAAGATACAAAATTCACAGCCAATAAATAAATCCTCAAACACACATAAAGCATATTTCTCAATTTGAGTCAGTTTGAACAGCTTATGTGGCAATGGTGTTTGCATTAGCAAATAAGAACGCTCAAACACTCTCATGACAATGGTAGGCATTAATTCAACAGATGTCACATTACTGCTTTCTTGAAAGTGGTCTAGGTACAATGATAACCTACTTGACACTAGAGATGGAGCAGATCTATGTTGCTAATGGTTCCATTAGGGTTGTCACAAAAAAAAGTAGGCCTAGGAAGACAACTTTTCTGGAAGATTCTATGATGGCTAAAACTGCAATAAGTACAGAGACAGCTTTATTATCTGGCAACTAGAACTAATTATCCTCCTAAATGTATAGAGTCAAACAGTATAATTGCAAGAAGGCTGTACTTTACTCCTCACATCCACTATAAATTGCATATAAGTCCAACCACTTTGGTGCAATTTGGTGAATCATTACAGTAAAGAATGAATGAGTTATAACTGCAAAGGATTATTTATTACATATATACTTCACATTTTTCAAAAATCAGTCAAACTTACAGGTGCTTTTATTACTATTATAATGCTCTGTTGAAAATTTCGTTATGGCTTTAAGAATAAATTTAAAACTATTGTTTTTTTTTTTTTTTTTTTTTTTTTTTGGGGGGGGGGGTTGATTTTATGTCAACTGCATTCCTGCAGAAATTTTACTGCAGTTTCTTCCATTACATGCAAATTCCAGAACTGTACAGTCATAGGTCGTTAATCCGGACTCGTCGGGACTTCGGCGATTCCGGATTATCGATTTTTCCGGATTATAGATCATCAGTTTAAATCTGGTAAGATGGCATGCAGAAATTACAAAATTAAAACTATGAAACCGTAATTTATGAAATAAAGAACAATTATGATCTAAAGGGTATCAAAATTTACAAAAAGAAAAAACTTAATATTTATTTGTTTACTTTATTAAACATTTCTTTCAATGTAAGTTGCTTCGTTTCATGTGATAATACTTTCTCTTTAATTCTATTAAACAGACATAATTTCTTGTTTAGTTACAAAGTTCCGCTGTTCAAGTCCTATAATTGCTGTGTTGAGAATACCGACTAATTTGTCAATCGAAATGTTTTCGTTTTCAATAACCTCTGGGTCACTTTCTTCACTATCAGAAGCGAATTATAATGACGAGGAACTTGATTTAAATCATATCAAACACGGAGTACATCCACATGAAATACTACACTTAGTAAGGAATTATAAGCCAAATAAAATAAAAACATCTGCCCTGAAGATAAGGATAGTGCTGACAGATCAACTTCCAATCCGTGGTGTGAAATTGATAAACAGATTTTGGATTTCAAAACATACTTTCGCTTTGTAGATACAAATTACATATTAGTAAATATATATCGGAAATTCTATTTGACATAATCGAAAGTTCAAGCTTACTTTTATAAAATTGCTCTAACAGTCTGCAAAAAATAATAAGCCGGATCCAATTCGAAGATTAAGGAACAACGCAATGTGCAACATTAACTGAATTAGATAATTTTAGTTTAACTTATACCTCTGTTACACATTAAACGCGCATGTGCACAAACATATTCGCAGCCGTAAAGGTCTTACGTGCACTCTTAAACGCCTGTGCGCATGCGTGAACGCGACGCATGCACAGAAAGTTTGTAGCTTTGAGGTCCGGATTATAGATCATTCCGGATTATGGGTGTCCGAATTAACGACTTTTGACTGTATATATTTAAAATTGAATATTACAATTTGTCTGTAAAAAATATTGGAACCATACAATATACAGAACATATATGAAAATGGCAACACTACTAGTTAAAATTAAAGAACTATTATGACCATGGTTTCTAGAGTTTGGGACATTCTGAAAATTTTGCAATTTCTACAAGGTGGCTGTATTAATATATTATAAGATTACATCTACTCTTAACTTCTTGGTATCATCAGCAATACAATCCTGATTTTATGACAAGAAAGCTTGGAATATACTAGATTGGAACCATATTGTTTTCTGCAATAGACAGCTTTTATTTGGCTCAGATGACCAGAAATTTTGTGCATGGAGGAAGACTAGCACATTCTGATCACCCAGTCGCATTATGACAGAGGCACATGTCCGTCACATTTGCCATTACTGTCTGGGAAGTTATTTCAAGCGATATATCTAGTCAAGTTTAACGATCCTTTAGCAAACTAACCTATGTCAACAAATCCTTGCAACTTACAATTATATTGCCAATACTGTCACATCTTTTACATGTGAACATCTCTATGGAATGCTGGCATAGTATCAAAACTCTCATCTGGAATAATATCCCCAAAGTGTATCCAAAATGACATATTAAGATACATATTACACATATTAAGACAAATTAAGATACAGGTTATAACAGTCTTGCAACAAGGGTGAGCCTCTTGGCCAATTACAGAATGTACTGCATCAAATTCCACAAGATAACTTTCAGTATTTGTATGAATCTATATCATATTTAATCGTTTCACACACTGCTATCAAAGACAGCTATCAATCAAATTCTTCCAGTTTCAACAAAGTTTTCACATCTGGGTCCTAAAAACTCAAGTTTCACCATGAATAAATAATATTTCAAAAAGTGTGAATGTTTTAAATAAAATATATTTAGCTAAGAATAATAGTTCTGTTAAAATATATACAAGGAAATTATCTGAAGCAAATAAGAATGTTAGTAAGTTTTTAAATTAGTGTTGGTGAGCTTAAAATGACTAATTTTATATATTTGCTGTAAGAATTCAATTTAATGTTTACTTATGAACAAGCAGAATTTGCATCTCTGATTTCCTATCAAAACAACAGTCAATAAGTTCAAGAAATGAACATAAAATTCTTAGGATGATTTTAATGGCGGTAATTATTTCCCCCTTTTTCTTTTACAAAAGCTACTTTAAAAAGAAAATTTATTTCTAAAAGTAAGGGTCATTATTATTGCAAGAACAAAAGACTAAAATTTAATTACCACGAAATTGGTCTTAAAAACAAGGTGCGCCTTATACGTTGATACTCAGTTTTTGATTACATTCATTTCTGGAAATTTCCTCTATTCGGAGTTATGCAATCTTTTTTCTTGTTTCCTTGTGGAGTGTGGGAATATACAATTACATAGAGCTCAGTGAATGTGCATTCGCTGTAATCGACAATCACAGCTGGGTTAGTTTAAACTTCTCAATTTTTTTTGAACGACTTTAAGTGTGTGAAATTGCTACCGTTCAGTTTCCTTAAATTTGACGACAAAATACAGCTCAAAAACAATGTTGGCATTGCCACAACATAGCATACAAGCTACGTGCAATTGCGTATGCTAGAGAACATGGAAACGGGGCTGCAGAAAAGCATTTCGAGCCACTGCAACTTAGAAAATAACAACTTCGTAGAATTATAATGATCAGTGATAAAATTTTATTCTTCAAAAATGTGTATAAAAATAGGGGGTACATCTTATATAAGCTGGCAAATACAGTAAATAAAAATTATAGCAATCTAAAACTAAGTTTTCATTTTAAATGAAAATAAACTTAAATGTTGACAAACGTTATCACCTTATCTATTGCATCTTCAAAACAAACCAGCCAATAATCTCTAGCATCTGCATCCTGAGTTAAATCAACAGTATCTGGAACATAATCAGCTGGTTCTTTCAAAAGTGGACAATGTACAAGTTGCCAATCAAACTGATCTATTTCCAACTGGTCAATCTAAATTATAAAATGAAATCTTAAGTATTTGTTTATAAAAACATGAATTACAATACATGTAATATATTACAGCACAGAATTCTTCATTACATATATTACAAATCAATTAAATTTTAATAACTATTCATAAACATACAATTAATATCATATGCTACAATTAAACAGAAGACATAATGTGCTAGGTTTTTATCTTTTTATTATTATGATGATGATGCATAACTTAGTCAATATTCTAGACTTACATCTGAATAAGTCTACCTGAGAATATTTTCCATATTTAGCATTACTATCTAAACCAAATGACATAATAAATAAGTCTAATTTTGAAAGAAAATAATTAAAATGTGTATTAATAATACAAAGAAAATATGATAACATTATAAACAAAATATTTAAATACTTTAAAAAATCAGATCAGTTCAAATGCTTTTCTGAAGTGATTTAAGTGCTATTTTTGAAAATAATTTATTAATATTTAAGTCACAGTTCAAATACTATTGTACAAAACTGTGCAAACACAGCAGTTCCAATTTTGCAATCAAACCACATAAGCATCACACGAATTTCGATGCAACAGACTTTTACAGAAAGAAATTAAAATTTTGCTAACTACACAAACCTGCAGTACATATTCATTCAGTATGTTTTGAACAAATACCACCCTTGCTGTCTTTAATTTTAAATAGTTTCAGTCTTGTTACAGAAAGACATCCACTAAGAAACTTACTTGTCAATATCAATTTCAGATTTGCAGACATATTTTCAAAATTTAAACCAATTTTAAAATGCCAGTAAAAGTATATGCCAACATAATAGCATGTTCTCCATATAACCTCAAGAATTAACCTAATTTATAACCTCAAGAATGCATCTTTAATACATATGTATGTATAAAAGCTTCAACTAAATAAATACCATCTTATTTAAAATAGCAGCACAATTCAACTAAATAGAAATATAAATTTTTTAATATATCACATTTTTAAATCAAAGTGATCTCAATCCTAGTTGCTTTTGGATAAAATATAAAAGCATAAATTGGGATTCATTTTATTTAACTTAGCTCATATATCCTTTAAAAATTAACTAAAGAAATTTTTTAGCCATATAAATTTTTAAAGAGAAGTCCAGCCATATATATTTTCAAAGAAATTTTAATATTAATTTTTAAATAGTTGTACATTTAATTTCAGATTTACTAATGTACTTTGTTAGCAATTTAGATTTTCGATAGTTAATAATTTTGCACCAAACTGAATAATTTAAAACTTTGAATACACTATTTGGAATTAAGCACACATTGACACTTTCAGATTTTTCAGTTAATACATCAGATTATAAAATACCTTAAGTTGATTTCCAATGATTATTCTGAAAAATTTCTCCTTTGTATATAGATTTTTTAAAAGTGCCTTTTTATCCTTTTCATAGTCTTTAACAAGATATAACATACTTTTTTTTTGCATCTAAAATGAATATTTTCTGAATTCTGTGCTGCTATTAAAATGATTATTGTAGATTTAAAATTAGATTACTACTATAATTTTTTTAACAATAAAGCAATTCAAATTGAGGAAAAGTAAAAAATTGATTGAATGCAAAATCCATTTACAAACTATGCAAAATATGCTACCTAGACGATATAGTAGTTAGGGGAACTGCCTGCTATACTAAAAGGCCCAGGATCGAATCCCAGGGATGGCATGGTTGTATTTGTCCATCTCCCCTCATAGGAGGAGAAGCTAGCCCACCTATTGGGGGCCTCCATAATAAAGGCTACTGGCCTTAGTAATGGTCAACATCTATGGATGGTTTGGGCCTGCCATTAGGAGGGAAACTATGAAAAATACTTATTTATCAAAAACAAAAAAGTATGATTTAAACATTAATGAAAAGAAACAAAACTTGCATCAATCAGACACACACTGTAATCTGAAATTCTATGAACTTGAACTACGAAATAACCTCATTTTCTCTACATTGTCAAACTACAAATAACAAAAGTACATACTGAGAGAAAGGATTGTGAAATGAATAAAATTTAAACCTATATGAAGGATTTAATTATCAGATGAGTAGAAATATTTGAAAGAAATAAAAAAAAAAAAAATTGTCATCATGAAGAAACCTGCAAAACGATTAGGAATTATGTGGTATTTCTGTCACTAGTTATTCTTGCTTGATTATCACTGGCAAAGAACTGATAAAGTTAAAAAGATTTTTTTTTTCTTTGATGGCGGTCTAATATCACTAAGAAATACAAAATGGGTGAATGCTTAAATATATAGCAGCATATTAAAATTATTACTAAAACAAGAATACAAAGAACTTGTAAAAAGAATCCAGGTTTGAATTAGTATACAGATCTCCAATTAAATCTAAGTGAATTTCCAAAATTTAAAAATAATTTTATTGAGCTCAATATATTTTCTGATTAAAAAAAAAAAAGGACTCATCATACTGATAAGTTTAAATTTAAATGAGTACTTTCTAAACAGCTATATTTCATTTAAAAATAATAACATATTTTGGTACTTACGGAAAATCCCGTCGGCCACAAGAGACTGTGTCAATCGTGCCAAACAAACAGACAAAACACACACACACACACAAAAAAAAAACTAAATACAAGAAAAAAACGTTCTATTCTGATTTTTCTTTCAAATTTATTATATTATCATTTATTCATATTTAATTTTTGATTAAAAATTTACATTATTTTTTATTTATTATTGCGTCTCAGTTTTTAAATAAAGCGCCATTTCGTGGCCATTAACACATTTTTTTTTTTAGCTCGGCAAGATTCCATAACTTTGAAAATATTCAACAGCATGCTCTTCTGTAATATGCAGGTCCCAAATTTTAACCATTTTTTTTTTTTGCCCTCGAAAATGCGCGATAGAGGGGAAAAAAGGAGTCTTTACTCAAGAATAATAACTAACATGTGTAATCAAGGTTACACCAAACCCAGCATGTTTGAAGACGTCTTTTCCATTTTTGGCAAAAAATTGCATAGTTTGGCATCTTTTCTTTAATAGGCAAAAATGGTTGACGGAATTTTCCATTAAGTACCCATATTTTTTTATTATAAAGGTAGATAAAACAAACATGAACTAAATAAATTTTGTTTTCATATCATGACTCTGGTTGTAAAATGATACATTGATGATAAGAAAACTACAAAAATTGCAAAATACACATCAATTTCTTATAACTCCCCCTCATCGTCTTAACATCCAGAAAGAAAAAAAAGGGGAATGCTGAAATGTGTATAGCATCAATATTCTACCAAATGACTTATTGAAAACAACTACTTTTTTGAAAAGCACACAAAATCATGTTTAAATAAAATTTATTTTAATTAAACAACAAAATATACTTTTCTTCAATATTGCTATTCTAAATATTCCTTCATGCAAATGTTTATAATTTTAATTTTTTTATTACTTAATTTAAAATGAAGATACTTCATAATATTGATTCATATTTCATTTCATAAACAGTTCTTCAATGACATAATTACAATTAAGTGAAAAGAATGATTTGACAACTGTGATATGATGATGAGTTGCAGTTAAAGCTTTCCATGACAGTAAGTGTTATCAGCACTGAAAGGCTTTGCTTGATGAATCATAAAATGAGATTGTATTTTACTACTGCAGCACAAAATGAAATGACTGCATACGAGTGGATGCTGCTTCTAAGATCTGAGTATCACTTTTCTGATAGCTGCTTATTATTTTGACATATGAAAACGTTTGGTCTGATTTCTGTACTTCTAATTAAGTACAACTGAAATGATTCGGATAGGAAAATATTTTGATAATATATTTTACTTCCATATACATGAGATCATTTTAGATAATGATCAATAAAAAGATTACAAAATACATTATAAATAATAATTTTCCCAACTTCTTATATTAATATGGTTTATATCTGTAGAAATTTTATTTACAAGATTAAAAACAATAAAAGTTTCTCATGAAGAATTTTCATATATTATATCCATGCCTTATTTTTAAATCTAATTAATGAATTTTAAGTAATATTAAGAAGAAACCACTGATTACACCAAACTAAATCAACATGCCATCTTATCTTTTAAAAATATAAAAATTTCATGTTTCATTAAATTCGGAAATAAGTAATACCAAAGGATTATCTGTTGAAGTAGTTTGGGTAGGCAAAGGACTACTAAGTCCTGAACTTCCAGCATAATTCTCACACCAAGAGTATTTGTCAGTATCTGTAAAATTAAATATAATCAAGAAAGTTTGTCATAATAAAAAGAGGTCACAAGAGATTAATTCACATTTTATAACCAGAATACTTGATATCAATACATTTAGTCTGAAGCCATTAAAATTATTCATTGTTTAAAAAGTACAGTACAAAGTCCGAAATCCGGACTCGTCGAGACTTCGATTCCGGATTTGGGATTTTTCCGGATATTAGATCATCAGTTTAAATGTAGCAAGATGGCATATAGAAATTATAAAAAAAAAATATGAAATGGTGATTTATAAAATAATGAAGTATTTATGATCTAAACGGTATCAAAATTTGAAAAAAAAAAAAAAAAAAAAAGCTTAATATTTATTTTTTTACTTTATTAAACATTTCTTTCAATGTAAGTTGTTTAAGTTGCTTTGTTTTTTGTGATAATACTTTCTTTTTAATTCTGTACACAGACATAATCTCTTGTTGTTCAGTTACATTGCTGAAGTCTTGTAACTCCTGTTTCGAGAATTCCGACTAACTTGTCAATCGAAATTTTCTCGTTTTCAGTAACTTCTCTGTCACTTTCTTCACTAACAGTAGAGGTATTTTATAGATCTAGAACCATACTACAAATTTCACCATTCATTAAATGATTGATGATTGAGAAGCATTGTCACCACAATGAAAAACTTCTTTCATATCATCTTCATTTATTACCGCTTCTCCACATTTCTTTACAAAATCCGTTAATTGGAAAATTTCACCTTTGTTTTGCGATATCCGAAAACCTTTCAAATTAACATCTATCACCATCAAATTTAGCTATCTTTCACTATACATATTTGGCTATACATCATGAGCTTGTCGACTAACGACAAGTTGTTCCCTTAAATTTCATCTTGCTTCTATTGAACAAAGACAATTAAGCCTGAATTTATTATACTTATGTCTATTTCTTGCACATGCTTAAGGCTTATCAGAGTTCTGAATAAATTCCTACATAAACTTCAGCCTTATTGAAGGCCGGCACAGGTTGTCATATTTTGATAAACATGAGGTGATGAAAGGACAAATATAATCAGGGGCGTAGCTAGAGGGGGGCAAGGGGGGCATCTGTCCCCGGGCGCAGAATCCAAGGGGTGCCAAACTGATGTTATGACATTTTAGAATTAAATGTTTTCCATCCTTGGCAAGCAGTAGGGGGCGCGAAATCGTCAATTGTCCCTGGGCGCTGAAAACCCTAGCTACGACTCTGAATATAATAAATAGTGATTTGCCAGGTTGGCGTCACATCAACGATGTATATCTATGAGGAATGTTTCGGTTTGAAATATGTGTCAAGCAGATACGCAGCAACGGAGCCAACTTACTGATCGTACAAATTTATGCTAAAATGATCGTTTCTTCAATAACAAGGTATTTTATTTCGTGTTGAAGTGAAATTTTAGATCATTTCAGATAATGGATGTCTGCAGATTTCAGACTTTATACTGTACTAAGAAAATTACCAAATACATAAGTTTACTTCTTCTTATGAATGGCTAAGTAATGACATCATTACAACTCAGATAAAAGAATTAATACCGATACTGTAATTTTTCTTCAGTATTTCTACTTGCTTTTTTACTGAAGTGCTGAATCCTTTTAAGAATCCGTATAAATTATGCAATTTGGTAAGCTGCCAGTGAGCTGCAATTAATTTCTTCCAAGACATACTGAAAGACTTCGTTTGGAAAAATCACAAAACGAAATAGTATTTTATTCCTACTGCAGTACAAAACAAAATGATCACATTAAGAAGAGAAATGTCATCTGAGTATGCTGCTTGAAGATTACTGGTGCCGTTTTGAAGGTTCCTGCATTCCTTTTCTGATAGCTGTTCCATTTATTTCTGATGTTATGAATTTATTAATTTTGGATTTAATAAAACAGCCATTCTTTTTATGATGTTGCATATGCTTTTCGGGTTGCCATTCCATTACCTTCTGTTAGATTTCATACCAAAATTTATGTTTGACATTAAATGGCACCCAATTAACTGAAAAGTATCAAACCTTGTTTGAAAGGGAAACAGTGTAAATTAAATTCAAAAGCAGTTCCAAATTATCTGATTAAATTTATATAGTAAAATTTTGAAATAATAAGTAAAACTATTAGTCATATAACAAAAATAAACTACTTTAATTTCTAATAGTTATTTGAATATAAAATTACATGGTTCACCTTTTGAAGATAATAAGCATGCTTAAATCACATAAAATTGGTTATCTTATTTTTCAGATGTAGTTATGAAGCTATAGCTATGAAGCACTGTAATTTATTTGCATTGATATCTTTTCAATTCAACTTTTTCATAAAAATTTATATAAAAATTATAAAAGTAATACAGGGAGATTTTTACCAGTATCTCTAATCATACTGATTTAAACAGCATTTTCCTTAAACATAAATAGCTGAATTGATAAGAATATACTAACAATATAAGAAATGTAAAAACAAGAATAATTTATCCCAAAGAATTCAATTCAGCAATGAAGAGGAATAATGACTGAAAACAATAGGCAAAATTTTCTTCAAGATTTCTGATTTAAAGTTACTTTCATTTTATTATTTATTAATTTTAATACCATTCTATAACAAATTCAGAATCTACAATAAATTTTTATAATTTTGTACATAACAAATCGGCTAAAAATTTAAACCTAAGCAGAAAATAATTACGTAATGGCTTACCATATTCCTCAGCACCTTTCAAAAAAGCTCCTATTGCTGCCAAATAACCTTCATGACGCAAAAATAAAGCTTGAACTTTTCCCTAACAGAAAATTGTACAAGATTAAGGATTTCACTTTCTACAAAAATTACTGTAATGAATTAAAATTTTTTATTAATATAACTAGCCTTGACATAATATATTATGTCACTCATATAGTATATATATTTATACATGAGTGACATACATATGTGTAATTCTCATATGAATATTACATATATATATATCTGTGTCACTCATATATATATGTGTGTGTGATACTCATATAAACATTTTAAAAATCAGACTAAGTTTTTATTAGCCCTGCATCACTGATTTTTTTAACCTACATATAACATCTCTAAGTCTACATATAACTCTAGAATATTTTTTCTTTATGTCAATAAAGTTACTTAAAATCTTAATCTAAAACAAATTTTTAAATATTTTTTCATCAAGAACAAAATCCAAATTCATTAAAATAAAATCTGACAAAATATTTCACAGATGAATTTCTCAAAAATAATAAGGTCATTTCCTAAAACAATGATTTAATGTAATTTAAAATTGTATTAAGAAAGAAATTTTATGGCTAACATTTATGAATCTGAAAAAAAGCACACCACACAACAATCTGAACGTAAAGTTAATATTTTACATCAATTGTTTCAACCTGTTTTTGGTACTCTCTGATCATCCACACCCCCACCAAAAAGTTGCGAGAAAGTATTCATGAAGCAAAGCAGTATGTCGCCAAACAGCATTTACAACCAAAGATTGCACATATCTGTTTCAGCTAGTGTACAATGCTGAACTTGCACAACTGATTTTTTAAAAGCAAAAAACAGATCACTGTGAACACAAGGAAAAAATAAATCCAGGTATACACATAGTTTATCTCTCTTTTTGCCAGTGCACAGCGCTGAAGTTGTAGAATGTCGAATTTGTGCAATTCTCTAATGTTTTTGAAGAACAAAACAGATTACTGTATACATGGGAAAAGAATAACAGTGGGGAAAAAGGGGAGAGGGAGGAATTTCTAAAAAAAAAAAAAAAAAAAAAAGTGCTTGATTACCTGGGTATCTTGCTTTTCAAATTTTATTCATTGATTACTCTTGTATGCAATTCTTACTGTTCCACAATTCTGAACATAGCTATTGCCTTTGGTGCATTAACTTGGAGAAAAATTGCTTCTCAACCTGCTTACAAATGCTCTTGGCAATGAGTTCATGACTTTTCAATTTGTGTGTGAAGTAGATACACATATATACGTAAGATAAAAATGTGTGAATCAGAATTATAATATAACTATAAACATGAATTCTTCCTCTCTATTCTAAAATCGTAATAACTTATCTGCATTGCGTCATTCAAATTAATCATGCGATCTTACGTAACCGTTAATACCATATGCCTCTTGACGACCAATCACCGAATTGTAAACCAAAACTTTTCTCTTCGCGTGCTTCCATCTTTCATAACTACGCACTTCAGCTTTTGCTCTCCTTGTGCTTTTAATATTACACTAGCGGGCAAGCCCGCCAGCTGAGCGGGCTGAAGCCCACTTTTCATTGTTCAATGTTCATGAGATTCCATTGTAATTTCGCCGGTATTCGAAAGTTGGACCGAACTACCAGTGTTCAGCAATTTTGAGCAGTCTTGTCCGCTTTGTTCACCTATGCATGGAGAAGATATTGCATAAACGATACACATGCGTAAACGCAAGAAAACACCCATGGAGCCAGCCCGTTCGCCGGGATCGAAAGTTGGACCGAACTACCAGTGTTCATCGTTTTTTGTGCTGCCTGCGCCCGCTTTATTCACATATGCATCCAGAAGACACTGCATACACGATACACATGCGGAAAATCACGAAAACACCCATGCAGGCAGCCCGCTCTCTCGGATTCGAAACATGGACCGAACTACCAGTGTTCAGCGGATTTGAGCGGGCTGCGCCCGCTTTATTTACGTATTCGTCCATTAGATACTGCATACACAATACACATGCCTAAAATCACAAACACCCATGCAGCCAGCCCTTTCGCGGGTATTCGAAAGTTACATCGAACTACCAGAGTTCAGCACTTTTGCTCGGGCTGCGCCCGCTTTATTCACGTAGGCTTCCAGAAGATTCTGCATACAGGATACACATGTGTAAAATCACGAAAAACACCCATTATTCGCGTATACGTCCAGAAAATACTGCATACATGATAAATCATAAAAACACCCATGCAGCCAGCTCGATCGCCTTTATTCGAAAGCTGGACCGAACTACCAGTGTTTAGCAGTTTGCGCGGGCTGCGCCCCGCTTTATTTACGTATGCATCCACAATATACTGCATACACGTTACACATACGGAAGATTACGAAAGCACCTATGGAGCCAGCCCGTTCGCGCCGAGATTCGAAAAATTGGACTGAACTACCAGTGTTCAGCGATTTTACAGCTCAGGCTTTTTGCCAAGTGTAATCGCAAAAATTTTCGGGTATTATATTCAAACAGTAGTAGATTCGTTATTAAAATTCCTTTTGATAAACTTTAACATAATCGCACACAAAGGTGCATCAATATATATATTAATGTAAGTAATCAATCATAATTATTTATAATAAGAAAACTTTCCATATACCATATCCGAGCAACAGAAATTCAATTTAAAACCCTGAACGAAAAAAAATTTAATCAGAATTTAAATAGTGTAATTATTTTTTTGCAAATAAAATTTCTTAATTAAAATTTAATTTAATATTAGCTTTATGCGAACAGAGACATTATATTAATGCAAATATATAATATATAAAACAGTGAGTGATTACGTAGCTCAGTAACACAAATGAGCACGCTGATTTAAGCTATTAGACATATTAATTTGTATTACTCAAAGTTGCTTTTCTTATTCAGATCCAAAAATCACGAATTATTCGAAAAATGCACAAAAAAATACGTATCTCGGCAACCGACAGTCCGATCGGCTCGTACTTTACAATCTTATAATTGCCAAATTTTGAAAAGAGGTTTGGTCTTTGTTCCAGACAGATTGGCAAATTAGAAGATTAATTAGCCATAATGAATAAAAATCCTCCACTACTTTAATTTCATCCCTGGCGAATGGCCTTGCCGATTCCAAAAGTCGTGCGGAAACCATCTCCCCCTCTCCGACACCCGTCGCTAGGAAGGGGAGATAAGGTAGTAGCGCTTTTTTAATGAATCTTCTAATTAGGCTCCTAATTAGCAAAACAGTTTACAACGAACACTAACCTTTATTTGAGCATCCGGGAAGTGCAAAATTCAAAATTTAAACGAATTCGGTTAATTCTTTCAAGAGTTACATATTTTTGTGCATTTTTCCGGCTGAATTTCTCTAATTAAGAAAAATGCACAAAAAACACGTATCTCAGCAACCGGCAGTCCGATCGGCTCATAATTTACAATCTTATAATTGCCAAATTTTGAAAAGAGGTTTGGTCTTTATTCCAGAGAGATTGGCAAATTAGAAGATTAATTAGCATAATGAATAAAAATTCTCCACTACGTTAATTTCGTCCCCCGCTAATGGCCTTGACGATTCCAACTGGAAAACGGATACAGCTGCAACCCCTCAAAACCCGTCGCCTTCGAATCTCAGCCTGTCCACAAAGATATCGGAAGGAAAGAAAAAGGAGTATTAGGGCGTTTTTAATTACCCCGTTAATTAGGCTCCTAATTCGCAAATCAGTGCGGAATCAATTCCATCAGTCGTTTTATCCCTGGCGGGTTTAAAATTCAAAATTTCAAAGAAATCGGCCGGTAAGTTCCAGATTTACCGATTTTTTTGTGCATTTTTGGGCTCAATTTCTCTAATTAAGAAAAATTAATATCTTGGGAACCAAATAATGCGATCGGCTCCAAATTTAGAAATTTACAACTCATAGATAGTCAAATGAAGGATGCTCTTTGTTCTAGATGAGATTGGCAAATTAGAATATTAATTAGCATAATGAATAAAAATTCTCCACTACGTTAATTTCGTCCCCCGCTAATGGCCTTGACGATTCCAAGCTGGAAGAACGGATACAGCTGCAACCCCTCAAAACCCGTCGCCTTCGAATCCCAGCCTGTCCACAAAGATATTGGGAAGGAAAGAAAAAGGGGTATTAGGGCGTTCTTTAATTACCCTGTTAATTAGGCTCCTAATTCGCAAATCAGTGCAGAATCAATTCCATCCGTCGTTTCATCATCTCGCGGGTTTAAAATTCAAAATTTCAAAGAAATCGGCCGGTAAGTTCCGGAGATACCGATTTTTTGTGCATTTTTCGCGCTAATTACCATCTTTGCTAATTAAAGTCGCACGAAGATGCGAATGGCCAAAATGGCGAGCTACGGACGTCCTGAATCCAACGGTATGCTCCGCTAAGCTCTACACCCAGCCGTTTCGGAGAAGATGAGGTTACAAACAAACAAACAGACGCGCACAGATTTTAATAGTATAGAGATATATATATATATTTTAGTCCTATGCCAAACCTAGGCATGACTGCCATTAGTCTGTTATGGGCAGTCCAATATAATTCAGAAACATTAAAAAAGTACAATAATTTTTGACAGCATTAATAGTGGACGACAGAAAATGCCAAGATGAAGATGAAAAATGCCCTTCTGGGCGAATTGTTCCTTTGGCCTTAAAAGAAGACAGTTCTTCAAGGAAAGGTGATTATTTATATGAATAAAAAAATTACCAAATTACTATTAAGGAAAAATAGATGATTTTTCACAATATATCAATATAAATACTTTGTTGAAATATGGTTCCTGAGCATTCACTTATACTAATTTAACCATTTTAATGAAACCTATACTTACGATTCTGAAACTTGGGACATTATTGAAAGTATAAGAAATTCCTCTAGCTATTTCTGAAAGTCCTAAGAAAAATCTTTTGAATTGTAAACACTGATGGCTTGTGAGACATACTATCTAATCAAGTTAAGTTGATCCATGGAATGCTTCAGTGCTTGGGTAGAAAAACTTTAATCTACTTGTAAAAAAGGTCAATTTTGACAACATGTATCGGTTTACTTTATGTTTTGTTAAGACATAGCTGTAGTCTTGTTTTTTTAATACTTCATGGCATGCAAGCAATCAAAAAGCACGAAAAACTGTCAAAATGTTTCCAGTAAATAATAAGGAAAGAATGTTATTCACATGGAAAGGAAATTTCAAAAACATTTTCTTCCCTAAAATGGAAATTAAACTTTCCTGGCATGCCTCCAACAAGAGTTTTACCGTTGAAGGATGAATGGATAATAGATATAACCACAAGTCAATACTGTCAAATGCTTAAAATTAACTACATAAAATCTACTGGTCACATTTTCCAACAGAATCCTTCCTTAATATTCACAATTTTTAAACTTTTTGGAAAATGAGTTGAAAGAAAGTCCAAATTTTTATTATTGGATTAAATTAATAGTGGCTTTAATATAATTAAAATTACACACAATAAATAGTTAAAATAAGAAATACTGTGGAAGATAGTTTCAAAGAAGGTCATAGCCCTTTCTAGGTTGTCGTGTCAAGAGAAGATTTGTATTGGTCTGGTTTATGTGATCATGACAAAGCCTCAAGGGCTATCTGCCTAAAGGAAGAGATGCCTTCATAGAGGACTTTCTAAGGGAAATTGGCACGTATACATGCTACACATAGGGGAAAAACCACAAAAACAGACTTGCAGCCAGCCCATTAGTGGAATTCGAACCTTGGACCAAACTACCAGTATTCAGGGACTTTACTACTCAGCCACTGGTGGGCCAGCCATAAGAAGAAAAAGAATATATCTATTTATGTTATGCTTGCATACTGCATTATTCTACATTATAACTGAATATCTCTTGTTACAAATACTCAAGTATGTCCTTCTCTTATTCTCCCATTTATATAAGTAAAAAACAGTAGTATATGGATGCCTATATTATTGAGAATCCTCTGTACTTTAATAAAACAAAAACAAACAAAAAAAAAAAAACCCAGTCACAGTAAATGGTGGCTCAGAGCTATTGGTACTTTTCCATTTCACCGGTGCAGGTGATAAAGTCGCCAAAAATGATCAACCGATGCCAAAACAAAATATCTCCGCTGGTAACCTTTTATGGCCACATTTTCAAAACAAGTTGCAACATGATATTAAAATGATTCAAAATATATTAAAATATTTATGCCTCCAAAGTAAAAAAAATTCTTAGAACCAACATTTGTTAACACTTATTTATGTGCATCCTGTGTGTTATCGCCAATAAAGTCTGCTTAGCGAAATTTGCAGCATTATTAAAATTTTTTTAAGTATATACCATGTGTTGTTACCAATAAAGTCTGCTTAGAGAGATCTGCGTCAGTTAAATGGAAAAGTAATTTGTATAATACCTATCCATCTCACTTCTGTCTGAAGCATGCTATAAACTAAGACATGAAACTTAATTTAATGATATTAAAGTTTCCTCAAACTTTACCAATATATTCTTTCATTTTAAAACATTTTAAGCTATAAAAAATTAAAAGGCAATTCATTTATTAAGAAAATTATATGAAAATATAATATAGAGAACAGTAACCCTCTGAGTGGTACAGGTGTTCGAATTTGGTCTTGAAAACTTGCATTTAAACAGCAATTATAAGCAAAATTTATACAACTGCCTATTTTAGTCTGTTTTATAAACTTCAATTCGTTAAGATGACATTTACATCATTAACTTGTGAGCACGCACATTGGATCCAAAGGACCCGCATGATTAAACAAACCTTTCTCAAAGCACGCCTATTTCATGCAAGTTGTTGAGGTCCAGTGTAATTGTGTATTAGGTCGACCTCTTTATGTTTCCGAAGTTTTTTTGATAGGCTTTGATTTGGAGTCGATTTCGATCAGCGTGCCTGTCATGCTACTATTCCATAGTTGATTTGTGATAGTATGGAAAGTGGCAAACATATTTTGTAAATTTATCTTACAACAAAGAAATTTTGCAAAAGTTATCAGATGTATCAACTTGCAAAGAATGCCTTGAAGAAAATGAGGACGAAAGTGATCATGAAATTTTAGTTCACGTGATACTGATTCAGATAGTGATATAGATTCTGAAAATGAGAGTGAGAATGAGTGAGGAAAAAATTATTGTAAAAAAAACACCACAGTGTTTCCTCAGTGAAAAAGCACACAAAAATGAAAACACTTCCCCAAATGTGAAAAATATTTGTATTTGGAGCACAAGAAAACACTTTCTTCACTGTGCTGCTAATATTTGTTCTCTGCGCCCATAGAACTAATAAAGAAAATAAGAATCGAGAGAGAGTAAAGGTATACTATTTTTTTTTTCTATGCTAATGTATAATAGGATTTTCCATTCCTTTAAGGAATTTTATTTCATAAAAGCATTTAGAGAAATTATGAATTTTAATGTGCATATTTTTAAAATTTGATCATAAAATTTATTATTGGGATAGATGTAACACTTTTTCTGAAAATTTACAGTATTTTCTTCAAAAAACATGAATCGGGTCATTTGGACCCAGCATGCGTGCTCGTGTAAAGGCCCGTCCACACGAGTACGCTCGAAACGTAGCTGACGAACGCGCTTTTATGTTACCAGAGTAAAAGTATCCAAACGAGTACGCTTGCGAAGAGTGCATTTAACCAATAGAATTATTTTGCGCAATAAAATCACGTGATGCTGTAATATAGTGTCAGCAGAGCTGTATCTTATTACTTCTCTGTGCTTCTGTATGTTTGCGGCAAGTTGCCTAAATCAGATGTTTTTTTTATAGCTGAAACTTTATTATTAAGTGCAATTATTAAGCAGAGACAAAAATGGAAAAAAAGGCAAGAATAAGTCTGAAAGATTCATTTAGAGCGACCTGTTCAAAGAGATTTTTTTTCACTGCCTTGTTTGCAAAAGGAATATCCGAAATTATTAAATTCCTACTATTAGCTCACACTCTCCCTATATCTTGTTCAAATTTTCAGTACATAAAATACTTTTTATTCATCCACTCAAGTTCAAATACAATTTTTTAAACTTGTAGTAAATGACACTTGATGTTAATACAGCTTTTCACATATTAAAATTTTTAATTAAAAAAAATTCTGTTTGTATTTTTATTTATTTCTGCATTTTTTAAGTTCTTCTTTGTGGACCTAAGTAGGAATTGACTTAATTTTTTTGAGGGGTATATTACTTGTTTTTTAATTCCTTCAGGATGAGTATCGACCAGTTTGACAGACTTGCAGATTCTATATCATATGAAAATTAGGATTTATAAAATTGGTTTGGAATACAGTATATAAAGATAATTAAATTACTTAATTCTCTTTATATACACCATCCACCATATAATAAAACCAACTTCATATTTTTTTAACTCCCTCTCCCTTGGTCTTTTGTTTTTCTTTTTATTTATTTTTGAATTTAGGAATGAGGTTCAAACTTTGGACAGTTTATGAGAAATTATGTGCATGATAAAATATGCAATAAAGTAAAAATAAAGAGAATTTATAGATGATATATGATAAAGAGATGCAGATATATTATTACATAAGGATTTCTATTTGCACTGCACATTTTTAAACTAAATTAAAACAATAATAATGAATAAAATAAGAAATGAAAACAATAATAATAGGTAAAATAAGAATATAATGATTCATGATTAAATATAAGAAACACGTTTCAAAATGAGAAAAGCTAGCTGAATTATATATTGTCTACTGGAGAGGTTCGAACTCGCCACCTTTCCATTCCTTTGCCACCATAACAGCGCGCTTTCCACTCAGCTATCTGTGATAGCAGTGTTTGTGAAAAATAATGTAACAAGTAGAAGTCACTGCAAAGGTAATTTAATTAAACTTCAATAAATGATTGCTATATGACACAAGTTGTAACTTTGTTCCAAAATTTCATAATTGTATTTTATTGAAGTCAACTGCTTTATTTTAGAAGTTGTTATATTGCTGAAGTTAGTTTTTGGTGTATTAATATTGGGATATTTATAGAGCTTTTTATTACACATGATATAGCCAATATTTATAATAATTAAGGAGAATTTTGTAAGACAAACTTTGATTTCGTAGAAACTAATTTATTTAGGTTCCTATTACTTAAGGTGTTATAAATAGGTGAAGCATATGGATAACTGGTCGGATTATTGCTTTATAAATATACAGTTTTCCCCTTTAATGAGAATTTTAAATGTATACCAATATGTACGGTTTGAGAAATTTTGAAGATGGCGTAAACAATGCTGATTATTGTATTGCTGTATACAGTTATATTTCTAAGCAAAAACTCATCTCTGTGTGGTTCTGATGCCATATTGAAACGGGTAAGCAAGAAGTTTTTCTGATTATGACACGTGATAAGAACTCTGTTGGCTATTGGCTATACGCGAGCAAAAAGCTGAACAGGAGTGTACTCAGTTTTACGTCTTCTGCGTCACGCGAATTTACGCCGGCGTCAAAAAAGTTACGTCAACTACGTCGGGAGCGTCCTCGTGTGGACGGGCCTTAACTCATATGTACGTGTGTGCTCCCGGATTAAAGAAAGTAAAAAGTAAAATATTTTAAATTATAAGCTAATATATATATATATATATAAAGTGACAAAAAAATCTCATGATTGGATAAAGGCAGTCATGCCACTCGAAGGCATTAATTAAGCATTAAATTAATAAATGTTTTATAATTACCTTGCTCCAGTAATTGATTGCGTATGAAATAGTGTGCATGCTTAGATAATGAGCCCTTAAAAAGTAGCCTCCGAAATACACTTTCTGCAGGTTATGCATCATGGCATAGAGACAAGCCAACTGTCCAATGTCATTGCTGATCATGAAAAGAAGACTACGAGCTATGTCTTCCCCTGCAAATTGTCCTGAATAAAAACCCGATGCTGATTACTCAAGCTACACTGAAATGCACAAGTTAAAATATAAATCTGAAATAATCAACAATCTCTCAACCATTAAACATACATAAAATAACAGCATAAGTTAATATCATAAAAGACTAAAAAAATGGAATAAATTATTTTCTGAACTCTGATTGACAGCCTCTTACAAGTTTGGATTAGTGGATTATATGGCACACAACTTTGAAAAGTTATTGTGCCAGACATATGTTCAGAATACAGAATTAAATACACGAAACAATTAAGCACGATCACAAATTTAACACAACAACATATAAAATGAAATGAAGTAATAAAATGATGAATACTGAAATGTTACTCATGATACAAGAATATGAAATGTGAAGCAGGTATAAAATCTTAAAACATGAAACATTAAAATATGTAGCAGATATTATCAAATTTATTGATAAAAGGCAGTTTCTCTCGAGTACTGAAATAAATATGTATTGACATCTTTCTGCCAGATGGTATAGTGGTTGGAGAGCCCGACTGCGATACAAAGGGTCTGGGTTCAAATCCTGGAGAAGACATGGATGTAAAATTATTTGTCCCTTCATAGGAGGTAACGGTGGCCACCTATTAGGTGTCTCCACAATAAAATAGCCACCATTTCTGGCCTTAGGAGAGGTCAATGCTGTTATAGACAAGTGCCCGCAATTGGAAAATTTCCTGATTATTCGATCAACAGGGAAGTCATTAAAAAATTTTAAATGAAGTATGTTAAAATACAAGCAGTCAATTAAAAAGTGACACGTTATCAAGAACAAACGATGTCCGCTGAAAATTTCGCAGCAAAAACATCACGGAGGAAACAATGAGAAAACGTCATGGGAGAAAACATTGCAGTTCTTAAACACTGTGGTACAAAATATCGTGGTCGAAAATAAAGCGGTTAAAAAACTTAGCAGTTTAAAAACATCGTCAAATATATCGTAGTAAAAAACAAAGGACCTACAAATCCTCTCATGATGATAACATTGCACACATGTGTTTTCAGGTTTTGAAAGTTGTAAATGCATGTGCATATAAAGACCATAAAGCGCAAGAAGAAAGAGGGATTCTTACTTCTATATTTCATATATTTGAACTAATCAATTTCTGCTGAATAAATCAGAAGGAAACTTATGCATTTAAAAATTGAAAATGATTAGAAAATTAATGGACTTGAAAATCTTAATAGAATTTTAAATTTATATAGTTAATTAACAAAGATCATTAACAAATTAAGCTTTTTTTAAAATTTTTTTTTATAAAGTTTAACAGATAATTTTTCATGAAAAATACAGTCTAAAAATGCTTAGAAAAAAAAGATAACTAACTACATGAGGTTATCAATATAAAAATTGCTTAGTTAATGATCAAATTATTTTCTTTCACATTTGTTAATCTTTTATCATTTTAATGAAAAATATATATTGTTTTGTTTACGTTTATTTTTAAAGTATCATTAACATTTTCATGTATAGCGTGTAATAATTTCTTTGGATGTGGATTTGCTAATTATGACGAAAGTCAGTTACATAATATGTCCCTATGCGTTTTTTGTTGGTTTGGATATTTTTTTCAATAAGACTATTATCAAAAACCGAACCATATAAAATCCAGAGGTATAAATAACAAATAACCCAAAAGCACATTAATTAATTTTTGAAATTGAAAGACATTTTGTATCAACTTGCTAATTACACTTCTAAGAACTATCCTCTTATGAACACTAAAGAATTACATGCAACATCTTGCAGGGATGAAAACTTTCATTTGCCAAATATTGATAACAATAAAGAAACAAAGATACAAAAGTCACAAAGTCACCTACAAAGATAAATGGTACAAACTATGGAAATACAGTTTAAATTACACCTGTAAAAGGAAATTTCCTAATTTTATGCAGAGTATTGCTAAAGAGAGACTGCAAATTATAAATCTTGAAAGTTGCTTGAATTTAAAAATACTAACTTTGATTAAAACATTTAAAAAATCATACTTCACTACCAGGTAAGAAAACACAACAAGGAAAGAAGAACTTAATACCTGTTTATATATAAATGCATAAACTATCGTCAAAACAGTTTCAGATCACCTAAACAAACAGAACTCGTAAACCTTTGTTTTAAAACAAGATATGCGACTTTATAATACACTAATAATCTGTTAAAATGCTATAGAAGAATACATCCAAGATAATTAGCAATCCATTTATGCTGACTGGTTACAAGACCAATTAATCAACATATATAAGTCAGCTGGAAAGTTTCAACCTGACACGGAAGGTTATGTGGTAGTAAGCTGATATATATAATCTTAAATTCATTATGTGCGAAATTAAGTTCTACTACTTGCGCAATTGCTGCAAAGTAAGTTAATAATAATTTATTTACTAAATAAGATTGATTATTTTATCTCCTAAGATTAATTATAGTAGAATGATCTGAAAAGAGTGAATCCACACTTAGTAAGTTCTATTTCGAAAGATGTTTTTAAGTAACTTGAATGTAAATTGTTAAAAATGTTTAACGGGGACTGGAATTAAATCATGAATAACAATGGTAAAAGGTTAGGTTAGGTTACTTAATTACAGCAAAGCCTCAAAGGCTATCTGCCTGAAGGGAGGAATGCCTTCGTGAAGGACTTTTTAAGGGAAACTGGCTCGTATACACGTTACACATGGGGAAAACCACGGAAACGCCCATGCAGCCAGCCCGTTCGCGGGATTCAAACCTCGGACCGAACTACCAGTGTTCAGCGTCTTTAACGCTCAGCCGCTGGTGGGCCCAATGGTAAAAGGAATAAATTAAAAGCAAGAATTAAATTAAATGCAACTAATCATTGCCATTGATTGGAAATTAGTTGACTTTTCAAGGGAAACAAACGAACTCCCGTTCAATGAACAATAATTAAAAAATAAATACGAAGGTTTTTCATCCTTTTACTCGAGCAATAAGGCAATGCCAAATCAGCAATTCAAGTCAGGCTAAACTTTTCGGGGAATAGAAGGGATTAAGAAACAACGCAGAGATCCAAAGAACTCATTCCAATTAAGTATTTTAACTAATTCAATTTTGAGTGAAAAGCAATTTCAGCAGTAAATGTGATATCACTCGAGTAAGCATTCCCCGACACCCTCGTGTTTATGCATTTGAGCTCAGTATTATTTGCAAAAATTAAACATTAGAAATTGTCATTATGAAATATAATTCAAAGTAGTTGAAATAAACATTAGAAAATTACAAAATATAAGAAAATAATGCAATCTTTGTAAAAACAAATAAAAAATAAAAATATATATAATAAGAAAAGTAAATGCACATGAAGATATAAAGGCCAGAAAAAGCATTAATTAACTTACGGTCTTTGTAGTTGGGAGTGGGCAAAAACGCGAAGAGTCTGACCCTGACTCAGAAGGGTCGTTTTCAGAAAATTCTTTAGCGGCAACGGGGCTTTGAATTATATCATTCGGTAAGACTTGTGTGAAGTAATTTATGGTGTGGGAGGGACTAGGAATTCTTGAGGGACGTATGCTGTGCAGCTCTTATTTGAGCGAAACCGTCTGTTAACATTTTTTGAAAATACTAGTGAATGGAAATTAATTTCTGGCTAATTGTCGTGTCATAACGAAGAATTTAAGAAAGGGAAAAAGGAATTTTCACTGTCAACATTAGATTTGACAGCTATTTGACAGACTAAAGATTATAATTAATCTTAGCAGATAATATAATCAATCTTATTTAATAAATAAATTATTCTCTCTATATATTTTTTACAGTTACCTAGTAGCTGATTGCATTGTTCCTGACAGTTCTCCAGTTTTTCTAATCCACTGTAAAAAAGATATTTTTCTGGGTGTGTAACTAGTCATTTACAGCATTCAAAACAGCTTCGTCCATTTAATGAAATGATAAACTTTCAGGTATGTCTTTATAGGAATGTACAGATGATAATCTGAAGGTGTGAAGTCTCGTGAATAGGAAGATATTGAAAAATTTAAAATCGCAGGCATACGTATAGTTGCTAGAGTGTCTGGTGAGCAGTGCAGCATAGTATATTTTCATGAAAGAATACTGCATTACAGTTTGACATGGTATTTCAATTGAATTTGTTGTTGCAGTTGTTGTAACAGTCGTACTCTGCATTAACGAACTGTTTTTTTAGCAGGAAGGCAGCATCCTGTACATCCCCAAAACTGATACCATCACTTTTTCTATGAAAGGCCGCCAATGAAGCTTCTTTGGAAGAACAGATGAGAAATTTTTCCACTGTTAACACTGCAATTTTGTCTTTGGATTGAAATGAAACTGTGTTTTCATTCTTAATAACAGATCTGTTCAGGAAGTTTTCCTGGTTAGCATGAATGCATTACAAATTTGAATCAAGGAGAACACTAACTTGTGCTTTTTGGCTAACTGTGAAGTTTTGGGGACTTCAATGTGCAGCAGCTATGTACATGTCCAAATGCTCACAAAAAATTATATACATGCACTCCTTAGAAATGCCTGGATATGATGCAACAGTTTACTCAGTTAATCACCAATCTGATGTGATCATGTTACATATTTTCATGATCTTATCAGGGAAAGACTCTGAAGGCACCTGTTTTATTTCATTCCCCCACTATTTCACACTTGAATGGGATGCAGTACTGTCCTGCTGTAAGGCATTTTGGATGCCACAGTGAATCCGTGGCTGTCCATTTCTTCAGAGATATCAAGTCATTACATATTTGACAATGCACCACTCATTTCAGACAGCTGTATCTTACCTCGTAATTCCACTTGCAAAGAAGAAAAGGTTTAACAGTAGAACATGTAACGTAGGGAATACACATAAAACACTCTCTAACATAGAAATATTTTATGAATCTGAAAAGTTTCCTTCTTGGTCAAACCAGAAACTCTGAAGCCATTATTAGCAGTTTTGAATAAATTATAACTTACAGTGCTGACAATCCTACAAATAAAAATTGTTAAAATACAAAAATAGTTTAGATCATTATTATGCATTATATTTAAAATGTGCCAGTCTTACCAGGATTAAAATTTTTGTCCCTTGATGAATGTATAGCTTTGCCAAAGCTGCAAGCAATTAGATCTCCTGGCAATCCCATGCCTGAATAATCCCCTCCATAAATGTCTTTAACGAGCATATCAACATTCCTGTGGTCTCCCTTTTCTGCTAGTTGAAGCAGTTCGTCAAAACCCTGTAACATTCAAACTTATAACTAGTAAATCTACGTAATAATAATAAAAATACCAAATGCATGCATCATTTTTCACATTGTGTCCATGTAACAGAAACACAAAAGCTATGGATCTTCATGAAAGCATCTAAAGTCAGTTCCATTAACATAGCTGACAAGATTAAAATATAAAAAATCAGGAGGCTACGATATTTACCAGAAGGATTAGTAGCTCTGTAATTAGCTATTAAAATTAAAAAAAAAAAGCAAGGCTTAACTAGATATATGATCCTAGGTATAATGATATGATTATACAACTGAAATAATTTTGATTACACTTGATTTTGATGACAGTACTGATATGATATTAAAAAAAAGAAAAAGCATTTTATAAAAACATGTACCTTTGCTTTAGTGAGTAGCGATCCAAGACCCCAAAAAGTACCACCTCCCATTGCAGATCCTCCTATTCTTTCATAAGATGATTCTGATTCAACCTTAAAAAAGTTTGTTTTTTAAATTTTTATCTTCAAGTACAACAATGCATCATTTTAATATTTGTTGCACCTTAACATAAATAATGATACTTTCTGATTACTCTTCCCCCCTTCTAAAAAGTCATGAAAAGTACTCAAAAGGCAAAGCAGTATGTCATTAATATATGTAATGTGCAAAAATATATGGGAAAAAGTGTTTAATGTAGCAACTCATGTATGAAGAACATGTTTGTTTGGCCTGTACATTGTGCTGACGGTTAATCACTTTTTAAATTGTTGCCACCAAATATTAGAGCCCTGTAATATATTTAAAGAAATTTAATAATGAAGAATCTGCATAAATGTATGCATGTTTCTCACATTGTGAAAAAACAACAGTGCCTAGAGCCATAAAATTTTGAATAACTTACGTCTCCATCCAAATATGAGCATTTGGAAACCCGAATTTGTTTTATTATGTATTTCATATTTTGAAAAGCATTTATGATTTTTTTGATTAGGAAGCTCAACAATTTCAAAACGAGCAATGCCAATACTATCCGGGGGGGGGACCACTTATCTCCAGCGAGCGAGCCTGTGTATTGAAAATTCTTTTTTGTAAATTCTAAAGATATGCTCTTTTAAATATTTTGCGATATTACTGTTGAATTGAATTTTATGGTTTAAGTGCAAAGAACATGATATTTAATAAATAAAGGCAACACACAAGATGTTAAAAAAATGCCTCCTTTGTCGCAATTATAAAATCCAAAAGATTTCAGTTTTTTTTTTGTAATTTTTTTTTTTTTTAAAGAAAGGTAAGAGTTTTATTATTGATGTTTCAGGCTTCAGTTTTATTGACTGATTAATTATGTATGGGATTCTTAGTGAGCCACCATTTTGTAAATGGCTATTGTGTTCTTGAGAAAAAAATTAATCATCAATGTTTCTCAAGTGCTTCCTAACGAGGTCAACGAGTTCCCAACTTTTCAGTAGGAGTGTGAAGAGTTAGAAAGTACTTAAATAACTAATTTAGATTTAAAAGTTGTTCACATTTACAAAAATGCAATTATCAAACAATTTTTCCTTTTACATTATATGGCAAAAATATAAAAATAATTAAAATTTTTAAGAGAAAACGCAATACAGAATCTTTTCTGCTTTCATTTTATATTAAAAAATGTCACTCTGCTTTATATAAGAGGCTCACTGATTTATGAAGATTACTTTTTACATATTTAATATTGTATATTATTATGTAAGAACTTCAGATTGCAATTTAATACCTTAAAGAAAAATTTTCCAGCAAACATTGATTATCTGCACCCTCCTGAAAAGCATTCATGAGGAATGCACTATGTTGCCAAAATGTATTTATGGGGAAATCTAGGTAAGGTATGTGTGCACATGCAGCAGACAAGAGCTGATTTTCACCAGATTTCAAATTCAAGGGTAATTTTTTGGCTCAGTGTTTATTTATATTCCATTTGAATAAATTTTTTTTTCCTCATAAGGAATTGTAACAGGAGTATGGAGTTTGTTGGTGGATGGAAATTTTTCAGAAATATGGCATTTGCCCAAGAAAAAAGATAAAAATTTGCATTCCATGAAGTTGTACTGCTTAAATGACTGAATTTTGTAGATTGAAATTTGTGAGTAATGATGAATTCATACAATTCTCATTTTTTTAGTGGAAAACAAATGGCTGTGGTATATTGAAAAAATGACAGTGTGCGCAATGCCAAGTTATACATACTGCAGTTTGTGCAATTCTGATCTTTTTTAAAGTTAAAATACATTGCTGTGTACATAGAGAGAACATTAGAAGAAAAGGTAAAGATTTTATTATGGATGTTTCTTACATTTTTTACTTTGTTAGTTGATTTCTGTTTTATGCAATTCTTAGAGCACTATCATTTTTTGGAAATGGCTGTTGTCTTTTGTATTTTGGAGTTTTTAGCTTAGTGAGAAATTTGTTGATGAAGCATTTGGCAACTTTTTGGGAAGGGTAAACAGAAAGTAGTGAAATTTAAAATAAAGAAACAAACAAAAGAAATAATAAATAAATAAAAATAATAAAAAAGCAATATGACCTTTATATTTAAATTCTGGTTTATCATCTGAAACAGCTATGCAAAGCCTACTCATTTAAGAATTATATATATATTTAGAATACAGAACATAAAATAATACATTTATGATAAGTTGGTGAAAAACAGTACTAACAAATAATTGTGGTGTGTGACTTGTTATGACATTATTAGTCCAACATAAATTCATGCAACATGGAGACATTTGCACTTATTTGAAAAAGAAAAAGAATTATCCAAGATGTAGTTTTGTATTCATTTACTGGATCACTTGTACCCAAAGCTTTCAACAAATATTTTTTTTTCCAAGTGAAGCAGCAATAATTTGTATTTTGACAACACATGGAATTTGTGTAAGGGAAACTTGAAGTAAACATGCATAGTTCCTACATTTTATGGGAAGAAATTTCACTATTCTAAGTGCAGATTATGAAAACTTTACCAATTTAATGCAAAAAACATAAAACTTTTTAAATAAATTTTTAATGCAAACTTAAAAAATTAAAATTAGAATTAATAAAATTAAAAAGTTAGAATTTAAATAAATTTTAGAGCAGCTTACGTATAGAAATTTGATATTAGAGTATCAAGTTAAAAAGATGATTATTTAAAATCTCACCTTCATGACACTAACACCAGATCCAATATTTACAAGTAGGTATGGATACATATTAGGCTCAACACTGTGAAATTTATATTCAGGATTTACATGTCGTCTGTATTCAAATACTTCATCAGGAATATTTCTTAAAACAAAATTGCAACCTTTTATTAAACACTCCATTTCATCTTCTTTATCAACCCTATAAATAATAGATTCAATATACAAATTAAAAACTGTAAACATCTGATTTGGCTTCATCATATAGAAGGCAATACTTCAAATTCTAAAAGGCAAAAAAGAAAAGCAGTTTCTTCATTTTATCGATCAACATAATGGCACACATTAGCTATAGAAAATGTGATGTCTCATTCTGCAAATACTCAGGCAGATAAAACAGTTTTATTGCATACATTTACATCAAAAGCAATTTTATAATTAAAAAAATAACGAAAAAATACATGAATAAAATATGATTATAAAATACAGAAATTTTTTTGGGAGGGGGGCATATATGAAAAGAATTAGATTTTCAAGACTATAAAAAATTTTACCTTTCTCTCAAAAATCTAAACTATAAAGGCAAAAATAAAAAATTTAAAAACAAGAACAGAAACATTTTTAACTATTCTATTGCACTTTAGCCGAATACAAAACAAAGATAATGAAATAAATTTGTATCCCCCAAACAACTGATTTTTAATTCGAAATTGAATGCAAGAAAATATCACTAAATTTATAAATCAGACTGGAGGAAAACCATGCCAATGTAAATTAGGTACAAATACAACTTTATATTGGTGTATTAAATATGGTACTTCCTTATTATAGTGGCCCCCAAGACTAAGAATCGCCAATCAACAAGATATCTCACCAGCTCGTTAAGTAAAACATAAAAATAAGCAACACAATATACAATACTCACAATGTTTTTAAGAATATTTTTAATAACAGTTATGATAAGGCCATATTTTTTAAACTGCTTTCAACAATTCATCAAAAACTTTTTCCTATGTATTTTCTACATACAATTTCTGAAAGATATGATTCGAGGTGATGTTGAGCTGTGCCCCCCCTTTTTTTATTACGTTACTTGGCTAAACCTCACATTGTTTTCCCATTATGGCTGCAAACACCAGCTGTCGGATTTACGAAACTGTACTCATAGTTCGCAGCAAAGTGATCATAAACAGCTTCTTCATTTTTCTCCATTTTACATTCATTCTAGCAGTCGAAATAGATTGTTGATCAATTTTGTCTTTTCTCCATAAGTATACTAGCATTTTTATTCAAGATTTGAATGACAAAGCACTTACCATCTTCCAGCCATATTCTTCCAAAACTCCCGTTATTCTTACGCTGGACGAACAAACTGTCATTGATTTCAACTATTTTATTGGGGCTGCCTATTTATCCATTGAATCTTTGCATATGAGTAGGTAACAAACTTTCCGTATGTTATTGTTCCAATTAACTGCAGCATTTTCACACACATTAAGCTGTTTGTCACACCATTTGATAGATGTCAAAATCTGTGCCTAAGAATACATAAATCTAATAGCAGTGACGAATGATATTCTGGAACCACTGAACTAATTTCAAACATGGAAGCCCTTCTTTCATTTACAATTTCTAACATTTTGGCTTGGAAATCAAATGGAACATTAACTTTCCATATGGCTTCGTTGTTAACATATAGTTTCATGTTGTGGCCATTTTTGCACACTTTAATTTACTTGCTTGTCAAGTAGAATTACTTGCTTGTCAAGTAGAATATCTTTCTTGAAAAAATATGACATTCATCTCTTTATTTGGTAAATTAGAGACTGCGAACAGCATATTCACAAAAAAGCAAGAAATATTTCAAGATATTAAAAGCAGATTCAAAACCCTTAACAAAAATTAAAATGACGCTAACACATGGCGAAATATCACTAAACACAGTAAATTTCTCTTGAAGAAGGGCCTATGTCTGGAAAAATGCCTTTATGGTGGTTTAATAAGAAAAACTAACTTGTATTCACATTACGCAGGATAAAAATTAACAAAAAAACAGCCATTCAGTCAGCCTGTACCAGTCAAAATACCAAAATTCAATGGCTTTAGCCAAACTGGAAGACTGTTGAATGACTACAAGTATACAACATAGCTACTTTGACCAATATGTTACATAAGACAAATTGTTCCAGATTTGTTTAAATATTTATTGCATTTCAATCATTCCTTTTCCATACATATTTTCATTCAAGGATTTAATATATATGAGTTATTATATAATATAAGGTTATAAAAGCATCTCTTTCTCAACCATGGAATTACGTCAGAAACACTCTGAACCCTTCACATATATTCAGAAAAATAATACTCACATTAAGCCTAAGGTATTAGTGAGCAGATCTGTATATTTATATGCTCCTCCTCCAGTAGCTTTAATACTCTTACCCCGCATAAAGTCAGGTGATCCTATAAGATTTTTACGTATAAAGCTCAAACATGATTCAATGTGTTTAGTTTCAAATTTAATGAAATGCAGTCGAGCAAATTCCACATCGGTTTCCCACACTTCATAATGAGTATCATCAGGATTCTGCAAAACAGGAAATGAAACAAATTTAAAAAAATTATTTAAATACAGAATTAAGAACATTTACTACATTTCATAGAAATGTTACACAAATACAACATTTATCCAACTCGTATAAATTTAATTTGATTTAAATTATCTTGTCTTTAGTTTACTCAGTTCAAAAATAGAAGCACTTGACAATACATGAACTAGAATCACATAGAACTTTCAGTAAAAGTTTTGCAACATTCATGAAAACATGAATTTTCAGAATAAAAAAACCTAGGCTAATGTTTAATCCAAACATGTTAACTATGAAGTGGTGAAACATTTCCTTCTCTCTCTCTCTCTCTCTCTCTTTTTTTTTTTTTTTTTTTAATATAATGATATTGCAACTTGTTTATTATTTCATATATTTCAAGTGATAATTTGCTGCAAGATTAGCTCTGAATAATTACCTTGTATGCTAAGTAAAATTTTGTTTTTTGATAAACAATGAAACTCGCTTAGATTCATGCTGAAGATTAAACTCTATCTTTCCTTCCTCCCCCCCAAAAAAGCAGATTTATTAACACAAAAAGTAAATTAAATTTATATTTAGCAATTATCACAGAAACTGCCATTGGTATTCTTATTTAAAGTGACAAATTAATCAAATTTTAATTTGCAATCAATAATATATTATTAAAAAATTCTACATTCTTATCTTCCTGTTTTGAAAGAAAGCTGTTAAAAAATTAAAAACAGGTTTACTATTACAAAATTGCATTATTCTTAAATTACAATAATTAAAAAAAAATGAATGTAAAGTTAAATTTTTATAAGAGTAATACATGTGCAAATAAAAGGATTAATGTACTAGTACTACTATTAAATGCATAATGAATAATCTTAGGATTTAAAAATCCCTATATAAAAGGAAAAAATAGGGATTATTTATATAAATTTCTAATGCAATATGATCAACATTTTAAAAACAAAAGATATACACATGTATTAAATTTGTATGTATGTAAAATGTAGCTAAGGCTTTTAAGTATCATGATATAACAGACTATTTTGCCACTATTATTTTAACATAAAATGTTTCATAGCAGGTTTCAAACCAGTTAATTTCAAAGGACAAGACAAACTGAATGGGAAGAGGAAAAGTAGACTTATGTGCCAGAATCAAATGATTTCATGTGACAACGAAAACATGCGCGTGTATGAGAGAACACACTCTGCTATTAAACTTTCAATACATGAAAAATAAAATTAATTTTTAACAAAACAACAATAAATTTTTATCTTGAGAAAGCTTAATTAATTAAAATTATTAACTTACATGTGTATCTGGTTGCTCATCTAAAGAGTACACTGCTCGTTTGTAAGAGACAGTTGAATAATATGCAATTTTTGTCAAAGAGCCACCTAAAAATATACGATATACATTTACTGCAAATATTTTACGATACGCTATGGAAAATTCCAAAAACATGCAAGAATTTGGACTGATAAATCATGAGAGTAATTATTAAATGCTTTAAAAATTTATAAATCTTGCAGTAATTACAACTTTAGAGGAATAATATTATCACTATAACAAGTATTTATTTGCTAATTTAGTTTACATGTGATTTTTCTATAAGACAACATTTCTGCATAATTTGCTTTAAAAACGTCACGCGAAAAGAAAAAAAAAAAGTCTACAGATTATACAGTTATAGCTTTTTACGCATACCAATATCAATAGCAAATCTCTTGGCATTTTTAAGGTTTCTGAAAACACCGTCTTGCTCAGGCAAAGTAATACTACCAGCTTCTTTTTGCGAACAACTCATCGCTCAATAAAACTGCAAGCGTAGCTTCAACTTCAAGCAGGAAACTAAACACGAAATTAAAAGAAAGCGTTGAACTCTGAAGTTTCCTTGTCCTGTCAACACAGCACTTTAACCTCCCTGTGATAATTATGCAAATACCCGCCTAAATTATTTCATCATTTATTTACCGCGCGGCACATGAAAAAATGGGAATCAAAGTTGAATATGTTTATAAGTTAAATGCAATCACATTCAGCTGATTTGAAATTTGAATCAATCTCCTTTTAAATAGCTTTCGCGAACCGTAAACGTTAACCACCATATCCACTTAAAATACTTGATGTTTTTGAGTAAATTCGTAAATTTGTACCTTATCTTTAAGTTTCATAAAGTATTAAAAATATAAGAATTGATGAAGAACACGGCACTGTTAGAGATGAAATTTCTTTGAGAGTAAAAAATATATATATATATATATATATATATATAACAATAACTAACATTTAATTTTTTTAAAGCCTCTGAAATTAGAGGTGCTGATAAGGTTAATAACTCTCAACTCAGCTTTATGATAACAAAGTCACATGTACGTAATAGTGAAAGTAAAATGTTGAGGTGTGGTTTCCATGTGGAAACTTTATCAGTTTCTTGGGCGTAACGTTGCTGATATCTTCTAATCATGTGAAAATCTACGTGTGGGTACTCTGTTGCATTTTAAGAATTCAAAACTTCTATGAATCTGTAGTGCCTGTGATTTTTAATAGGGGTAGGAAACGACGTTGAATGACAGGTATAACTAATGGTAAAGGTTTAGGTTTATAAAAGTGGGTTTATGCTAACAGGATATTCTCTTTCAGTGGAAAATATTTATTAAAAAATGTGAATGGTTTAAAAATTCTTAGAAATGCCTTCTACGCAGCCGCCCGACAGTCCGATTTCATTCAGTCGATTTAATGTTGGAAGGATACCACCCAAAGTTCAGGAAACTCCTTTTGGGAAGGTAAGAGCGTTATTGTTAATTCATGTGGATAATGGCTTCTTAATTAATTTTAGAGAATGTCACGTGTACTTGAAATTTTTCTTTTTCACATTTATTATATTGTTACAAGGCTGTAACAGTTGTCAGAATGGAAGAGTGTGTTAAAATTCATTCATTCCAGATCATAGTATTACTGACGTCAGCTGATTGATAAAATAATTTAATTTTAATATATTTCTCTTGAAGTGATGAGTTAGCAAATATAAATTGTTTGCAGGACACCATATATTATATATGCACAAACTGAAATTTCATGAAAGTGCTGTTTTTATGAAATAGCTGAAATAATGTATGATTCAGATTTTCTTTGTAAACGGTAGAATCGGTAATTATTTGGTATGCGATCTACCATCTTAATTATTTATTTTTAGGTGGCACCTCTGAAATTTGTTGTTGTTTAAATAATATCTTTTTCTTGCCTATTGTATGTTCGAATATGAAAGCTAATGAATTTATTTCATGAAGTTATTATTATTAAATTAGTAGCTAGTGTGTCGCACAGCTGCACCACAGGTCCAGGGTTCGATTCCCGTGCTGGGCAAGGTTGACTCATCCCTTGAATGGATCGATAAAATGAGTATCAAATTTGCTTGGGGCTAAACACTGGGGGTTCTCAGGCATATGCTCTGGGCAAGTGCTCAGCCCAAGGTCAAGAAAGTAGACTGTGGGGCCCAAGGTCAAGAAAGTAGATTTAGAAGCACTGCAGGCCGTGGCCCACTAGGGCTGTTGTGCTACTGAGTTTAGTTTATTATTAAATTGTAAAGCTATTGAAATTTGTGCTATACTGCAAATACTTCAAAATCTTCTAACAAAAGCATAGTGGAGGTCTGTTGATAAAATTGATGCCTATTTTCGGTCATGCTGAGCAACCTTCGTAATGTACGTGGCTGAATAACTGATAAGAATATTCTATTTAAGCATTACTACTTACACTTTTATTTTGTAAATTTGGAAGGAATTTAAATTTAATGGAAGTTAAAAGTTTAATTGGTTATTGAAGTAATTAATGGAATCATTTTCATATATGTATTCTTAGTTATATAGATTTATTTCATATATAAAAGTAACATTACAATGGCATCATCTAAGTTTTTTTTTAACGGCGGGGCACTTTATTTAATAGTCATTAGCCATGTCCCACTACAGAGGCCTGAAGTGGTGACCATTTGATTATAGAAGCACCTAATAGGTGGCCACTGTTACCTCATGTGAACGGACATTCAGTTACAACCATTCTTTCTTCAGGATTCGAATCTGAGCCCATCACTATGGCAGTCAGAATTACTAACCACTGTACTGTCTGTGCAGTTCTAAGAAATATTTAATAATATATTGCATGCTACATCGTAGCTGTAGAATCTATATAGAAAAATTTTAATACGTCTTTAACTTTAAAATATGTATTTTGCATCATTCTATTCCTAATCTAATTAGTATTTTCTTTACTTGAACTTCTCAACTTTTAAGTTATTTTTTCAGCTAAACAAAGAATAACTGAATTTACAATTTGTGTCTTTTTACCAAGTAGTTTAATTCATTTTTAATAAATGTTTTTTGATTAATTATGAAGGTTCCATTGTGGGATTTGAATAATCCTTTGTTATATAATTATCCATTACATGTTAGTTATATCTAACACACAAATAGATATATAAATAATTTTAGCATTTAACATAGGCTTTATGTGATTTGAATAAACCATGAAGAAATCAACTTCCCTAAGCAAAAGAAAAAAGTTTTTTAAAAACATGGAAATATTATAAAAAAACCCAGCTTTGAATTATTAAGCATATTTGTTATTAATTGAATAGCTTGCTAAGCAACTGCTAATTATTAAAGTGCCCTTTGGCGGCCCATGGATACTGAGTTTGTGCAATTCTTTGACTTGTTATTTTGGCTTTGTGTAGTTTTGCGCAAAAAATCGCCGCTACACTAATCCAAAATAACAAGTCAAAGAATTGCACATTTTCGATATCCAAGTACACATCGACCTATTTTCACTTTAAAAAATCGGAGAATTACACAAACTAGGCATTGTGCACTACCTTGACTTTGTCCCTGTACACATCGATCTATATTCACTTAAAAAGTCAAAGAAGCAGCCAACAAAAACATATAATCTCAATAAATTACATTTTAAATCAAATAATGAAATAACGTAAAAGAGGAAATTCGTTTTAGCACTGCACAAAGGAAATATCCACTTACCTTATTTATAAATTTTCCTGTCTTCAGTCAAACAGAATTCCTTAACAACATCCAAAAACTTCCTAAAATTATCTGAAGTAGAATCTGTGTACTGGCATCACCAGATAAATTCACAAAAATAAGAGTAAAAAATATCCTCCATAGTGTAGGTATCATCCGAAGTTTGACCATATGTATTTCCTTCCTACAAACAGGATACTTATAATGGCTACTAAGTAAACTTTTCATTTACACACCACTCAATTAATGCTCTTTTCTCCTTTCATTCCAAATCTTACAGAAACTTCAAATTAATCTTACAACATTCAGCCATTTTACTGTCTAAACCGCAACTCAAACAATATACTTCCTAACCAGCACATACAAATCCTTATGAATTTACTGCAGTCATGCAACTGATTACATCGTAATAGGGTTTCCATAACATTCAAGTACTTAGGCTACAATAAATGAAACAACGACTTTGTGATAATACAAGGCGTATCCTCCTCTCTACTCTAACCGTTTCGGCTAAACATAGATTTGGTTGGTCTGTTATCTATTTGTAAAGGACTCAAATATCTTCTATCATCGATCATTTTATACAGTGAAATGATGTGGTGCTATTAGAAGATCGGTCGCTAAAGCTTTGATTTATACTTGGCTTGTATACTTTGGAATTCTGAATCGCACAACATCAGACCAAGGTCAGCAATTTGATAACCAACTTTTCCAAGCCTTGGGAAACTATCTAGGTTTTTCACACGAATAAACTACAACTGCATATCATCTGCAGGCAAATAGCTTGATCGAAAGACAACACAGAACTTTGTAAGCAAGGCTAAAATATCACTTGTTGGAATAAAAATCATGGTTGGAAGCATTGCTTTTCATTCTTTTAGGCATAAGATCTCCCATTAAAGAAGACTTAGGTTGCTCATCAACATATTTGTATATGAAACCAGCTTAGCATTACCAGGAGAATTTTTCTAAGCAGTGCCTCGCATGAAATAGTTTGAATTTTCTCAAAACCTTCTGAAAATAATGAGATATGAAATCAAGACCTACCACAATCCATGAATATAGGACAATCTTTGTTTCTAAACAATTTTCCATCTGTTCTCATGTATTCTAAAACAACAACATCAACATAGCCTATACAACAACATTCTCTAAAACATGTCTGTCTTGGACCATATCCTGTAAGAGAAAGAACTAATAAGTATTTTGATATTGAAATGCAGGAAAAAATTTAAAAAGTTTGGATCGACAGAGTAAAACCATGTTTTCTAATGAAAGAAAGAGATTTTCCTTTCCAAGAATCACATTCCAAGAAAGCAGAACTTGGCGAAACATCTGAACTCAAGGCTGCTAAAGAAAATCCAAAGACTCAGCAATGAAACTAAGACTACGACAAGTGGCAAACATGGGAAGTTCCCCAGTAACTTAAAACATTATCTTACGTAATAGCTGTCGCTGGGGAGGGGGCATGTAGTATTGCTTCGGTCACATTGATTCATTGTGTCATTATCAAGTTTCTGATTAAGGTAAAAAATATTGGCAATGTTAAATCACCGTGAAAACCAAGAAAACAATAGCCGATTTGTTTTTCTGAGATTCAATGAAAAAAATGTAAATAAATATTATAAATGGATGTAAGTAAGATATAAGTAATGAACTATTAATTTTATCAGAGTCAGATAAGTGACATTAGCATATACCTGCATACTAGATGCTTCAATCTCCTTCTAAATAGTTTTCATACAAGGTTCTAGAAATTTCATACAAGGTTGAGTCGTATGCCTCATGATGGACATTATGTGTTTTCAGTTTTTTTAAGTTGTAAATCTTGTTTTATCATTTTATATACTTTTGCTACAGATGGATTTAAGATTTTGCAATGGATTCCTGCATTGGCAGATTTTCTCGTCACCAGCAATTTAACTTGGAAATATTATGTACCTTTTTGTGATATTTGTTCCAAGTCTTCTTTCCAGGTGGAAGTAATGGCTAATGGTTTTGTCCTTTGTGATTAGTAATGTTGCATAATTTGTGCTATGACATTTTAGTACCTTGCATTTCACAGTGTTTTTTAATTATGGAATAGGAATATTTCTTTTTGAAAACCACAAAAACGTATCTTTCAATATACAGTTTTTTTTTTTTGTAAAGATCAAGCTATGAAACTGTATTTACAAGTAATATAAACAGGTATTTATCCAAAAAATTAAAATTTATCTGTGTTAAAAGCATCAATTCAAGCACTAAATAGTGTTATTTTAAGCTAAAAGGAAAATCAACTTTAAAAGGAAAATCACCTTAAAAAATATTTGCAGCTTCTTTTATTTATGTGTAGTAAATGCCTGTACAGCAGGATAGGAAAACAAGCTTTGGCATTAAAGCTCTAGAAGTATTTAATTATTATTATAGATTTTAATGTTTGCTATTATTTGATATATAGAATTTTGAATATGTTATGTCAGAATACTAAGATTACAAATTATAGAATTGTAATTCTATAATTTCTAGTGTCATTACTTTTTTAAAATTTATTATTATTATTTTTTTAAAGATTTATGTAGTTTTTGGTATAAACTTTATTGGCTCCTTTTAGTTTGGGTAGTGATATGCAGTATTAGTGTTGCAAAATATTTTTTGTTCCTTTGATGTATTTTATATTTTGATGTTTTTTATAACATCCTTTTTGGTACTTTATTCTTACTTTTGTAGGTCCGTGCATTCAGTACCTTTACTGTCTTGGAATGGATTTATCTAGCAGTTTCGATTATTGCTCTTACTGTATCACTCGGTATAACAATTCAAAGACTGACAACTGAAAATCCTAGTGAAAGTGATTTTACATTTGCCATTTTATTACTTCTTACTATAGGTATGTATAAAATATTTCTGCTAAATTAATACTTATAGCACTTTTTGAAAATATAAGCTGATTAAACGTGCTTTATTCATTTTGTCACTATATAGTTGTAATCATTACACATGAAAAATTTTAATTATTATATATGACTATAATTTGTTACTCCCCTTTTTGAGTGTTATTTTAATGTGATTAGGAGTAGTTGGAAACCAAATTGTGCATTTTAAAAGCAAACTCGCTAAGTTCCATGAGCAGCAGTTACAGCTCAGTGTAATAACAAATGAGCTCTATTTGTTGCACAAGGAATGTATGTCTGGCATATAATTGGTCTCTCTCTCTATGTTTTGCAGCATATAAGGATACAAGCATTAAACTATTGCCCTATCTATAGGCATCTTTGTGAAAGGGCTCCATTCAACTGCAATATCACTATTACTTTTAAATGATATTAAGAAACTGTTTTTGTTTTAAGTTTTTGAACAGGCTTAAGGACATCTTTTCTGTAACAGCTGACTTCTATTAAAAAAAAAAAAAAAAAAAAAAAAAAAGGAATAAGTAAATAATAAATGAAATCATAAAATTAAATGAACAATTAAAAGAAAAAATCTGAAAGCTTTCAAATTTTATATTATGCCCAAACAGGATATATTTTAACGTTTTGTGTGTTACCTTTATTTATGAAATATCATGTTCTTCGAACTTAAACCATAAAATTCAATTCAACAGCAGTATCACAAAGTAATTAAAAAAGAGCATATCTTTAGAATTCCCGATACACAGTCTCGCATGCTGGAGATAAAAATGTTTTTTCCCCCTATACAATTTTGCCGTCACTCGCTTTGAAATCATTGAGTTTGTGAATCAAAAATTTGTTAAAGTTTTGCAAAGTATGAAATAGATAATAAAACAAATTCCAGATTTGGGCTTCCAAATGCCCATATTCGATTAGAAGACTACGTTATTCAAAATTTGATGTCTCTAGTTACTGTTGTTTTTTTACAGTATGAGAAACATTCATATATTCATGCAGATTCTTCATTATTTAATTTCTTTAAATATAATATCTGATGGCAACAATTTGAAAAGTGAAATGCCGTTTATATTGAGCCAATGTGAAATGCCAAAACGAATTTAATAGCCCCTCTAGCAAATTGCCCCTTTGGGCTAAAAAAAGGCCTATTACTTCATAAGCACATCACTTTTTGTTGTCACAGATATATTCCACATGTACATGTAGATTCTGTCAACCTTCCTGTTCTAACACTTTAAATACAGACTTTATGAATAACTAACATAAGGGAACAATATTCATTGAAATATTCCTATCTGTTGAGCGTAGTTTGACAAATGAAAAGTAATTTTATCTGAGAAAGCAATCATCTGAGTTATTATCGATCTTTTGCAGAATGTCGATAGCAAATGAATGTCTTTTCTTCCCCCCCCCTGTAATCAGAATTTAATGTCTTGGAAAATCTGCATCACATACACATCAGCACAGTCTTTTAAGTGCTACATTCTGAACCACATTACTTAAGAATTTCTTGCTCTTGGCTGACCTCCCATGCTAACTTCTGTGGACTTTGTGTAAAATAATCTCTTATTGACTGTACACTTGAGGTTTACTATCAGTGTTGCATTTTGTCTCACCCTTTGTTTAGGCTGAAGTGCACAGGACATTGTGTTTTTCATCAGTAATGCAGGTATTTCCATGTGTATTGTGTATCTAGAGAACCACACTGTATGTAATCCCACTGGAGACACACTGGGAATTCTGTTTTGCCTCAGCATCTGGTCTCACCACATCACTACCTCTGCCACCACTGGTGGATATCAATCACTCCCTCCGGGTGGCTGGTTGTTTATTATGAAAATGTACTTCTAACCTTACCAGTTCTAGTATCAGTTCTTATAACCTTGATTTTATGGAATATGGTTAGTTGATATATGGAATTAGTAACTGGAATGTATGAAATATGGTACACATCCCATGTTGAAAATAACTTACTCTCTTCAGGCCTTGATGATGGAGAATTCTTATGAAATATATTGTTAATTGGCATATGTATCCTTGCTTTTGCAATGCTCTCTTAACTAAATGTTTGATCTGTTTAACTGTAATAACTCTCAGTTAGTATTCAGACTGTTATTTGAATAATAATTATCAGTAAATATAAATATTTGTCATTATTGAATTATGTTAAATTGAGTAGAGATGATAGTAAATTTGATAAGGTTCTAAATATATAAGCAGATGATAAAACTGAAAATCTGATATATATAATTAATGATATAATAATATTCTGAAAATATAAGATAAAACTGAGTTTAAAATTGGTAATGACTGAATTATATGGTCATACTCTGAAGTCTTTCTTTGTATTCTTCAAAAATAATAATAAAAAAGTGTCAATGAATACAAAAATGTGAAAGCTTATTATTAAATTTTTGTATGTGGAAGCATAATTTTTTAATAAGAATTTAATTTCTTAATATGTAGTCTTATAGTAAGGAAAACATGGACAGAAATATGAAGCCAGTCAACTGGATATGTTTCAGTTTCTGCCAAATGGCTACCACTTATGTAGCAGGTACAAACTTTTGTTGAAGAAGATGACTTCCGTATATGCATTGTGAAAGAGAAGTCTGATCTTAGGAAGTTGAGTACCACATACATGTGTTTTCCTGCAGAACAGTTGCAATAGTTGATTAATAATAGTTGCAACTCCTTGCTCTTTATGTTATGTATTTTTCTTTTGCTTTTTAATTTTCAAATTGTAAACTTTTATTTCAATTTTAATTATACTTTTTTTTTCCCGCCCAACCGGTATAGTGGTTATCACTGCTGACTGCCATGCTGAAGCACCCGGTTTCGAATCCCAGAGAAGGCATGGATGTTTGTCAATGTATAGTGTCTGTGCAGCATGGGGGGCATTTTAAATATCAGCAAGCCAAAAGTCCTCTCGAGAGGTCGTTGGTAGGGGAAGAGGGGTAGAAGACCTTTGGATCCATTCCTCTGAGGTGCTTTCCATCAAAATTGGGGGCAGAACTGGGCTAATCAGATTGTCAGCTATATGGTGCTCAAGGCTGTTGCCAAGGTCAGACGTATTTTGCGCTCCTTGCCATGAGGAATTTTCATGGGTTTGGGCTGCAAGTGAGCATTAGTGAACAACACCATTTTTTCTTCTTGTATTTTAAAAAGAAATGAAAGCATATGGTATTGAAATGTAAAGAAATTTTTTTTTTCTCTTTTTCTCTTGTAATGTAGATCTCTGGTCTAGGGCAGGTATTATTTTTTCTAGTATTTTAATGATATTATTTAGCCTATAGCATACAGAGTATTTTATTATTTATTTTGTAGTATTTTTTACTTGTAGTATTAAATGTTAGATATTCAGAATTAGTATATCAGAATAGAAATAAAAGCTAAAAAACATTCTGTGTTGTCTATCGAAAGAACATGCTTTGCTTTTAGTTTTTTTACATAGCAAAATACGCAGTATAAAAATGATCAGCTTTAATAATGAAAGAAAGTATTTATGCATACATTATTTAACTCAGTAACAATTTTTTAAAGAAAGCAATTATTAAGTATTTTGGAATTTTGATTTTTTTTTATTGTTTTCTGTAAATTGAGCTGAGTTGTGAAATTCTGTTATCTTTTAGAATAAAATGACTTATGACAGCCTTTGTCCCCATAGTTGTGCAAGAAAATCTCTTTTCTCATATGAAAAAGATTAAATATTAATTTCTTTTGTATTATCTTCATAAATTACATTTTTAAAAAGAAATCTGAACTTTTATTTATAAATCTGTCTTTCTTTTTCAGTGTTTTGTTACCATTATTCTGTCCATTCAATTTTCACTGAAAGATGGGATGAACTTATGGTTTTTGTTATTAGCAACGTAATTGTTTTAGTATACTGCATTTTAAATTACTTGACTGGTGAGCAGCCAACTGTTAAATTGGTAAGTTGATTAAAAGACCAAATAATTGAATATTATTTTGATGCTTATATATTCTTTTTCATGTAGAATACTTTATTAATTTATATATGTCTAAAGCTTCAAAATACTTTTTTTAATACTTGTCTGTTAGCTGTATATGTCTAGCTATGTATAAATGATTTATATCCTCATGTCTGCCAATATTGGCAAGATCAAAAGTTGGTAATGTAGTAACTTTTTCAAAAGAGTATGCAGTTTGAAAAAAAAATTGAAATATCAAATTACACCATAGTAGAATAGAATAATTATATGTGGGAAGCTTATACTTCATCATTAGGGAAATTCAGGAAAAAAAGAAAAGAATTGCAATTTCAAAAGTTTTGACTAATGTCTTAACATCTGAAAAGAAGAGCTCACCATTAAAAGTTTTATGAAATGTTAGAATTATAAAAGTCAAACTATTATTTCTTTTCTTAAAAAATAACTGCAGTTTTCATCACATAAAACCAAATCTTTGCTGTTAAATAAAATTTAGCTTAAAGTTTTAAAAGCTTTGGCATTTATTTCTAATATAAAATTGTATGAAAAGAAGGTACTTGTTGGTTTTACACACATACACATGCATGATAAACTGGATTACCACATCTTTAATATTTAATCACAGATCATGCAAAGTATATTTTTTATAGCATCAAATTTCTTACACAAGGGATAGTTTGAAGAGATGGTTATTTAATTATGCAGGTATTGCCTTGAAAAACATAAAACTTCTAATTGAGAATGAACACTCTTATTTGAATTCTAGAGATGGACTTTACAGTAAACTCCCGATGATCCGCGGATTCGGGTGGCGCGGCCGCCGCGGATAACGAAAATCGCGGATAATGCGCAAAAAGCTAAAAACAGGTATTGCAAAAGAGAAAACAGTCATTCAAACTTTGAAAAATCGTTTTATGTACGATAAAACGTAAAATAAACAGCAGGAAATGTTTAACTAACACTTAATATTTTAGTATATCACTCAAAACTAACCTAAAATGCATTTTGTTAATGAAAACAGAAAAGTGCTTTGTACTTACAAGAGGCGTCAAGGATACACAGAAAAATTAATAATATGTACTGTTTTAATACTGTAATGTATTATGCAATTACAAAAGCATAACTGTAAAATTAAATCTTTTTGGAGAAATCAGTCATTTGTGTTTGCTTCTTGCTTTGGAAGAATTTTCTCTTGATCCGAGATTGCATTTTTCGTAGCATAAGTTTTCCGGCCAACTCCGTGTCGTCTTGTTCTTCCAAATAGCTCAGCAGTCCGTCGACTTGTTGCAAAGCTGCTTCGTGAGTCTTCCGCATCTGCACAGTGGGCTCTTCTTTGCCTTCACTTCACTCTCTTTCATTCTCGGTCTCTTCCCTTGCTTTCTTCGCAATTTTGTCATCTGTCAAGCATTCGAAGCCAGGTTCATTGACGCCACACTCCAATCACTTGTTAATGTTTTCAGCATCGACGTTCTCACCACTCGGAACTGTTTTCACCATATCGACAAGAGTCGCCATTGGCGTGTCTACATCTTCATTTACTTCTTCACAACTGAAAGGGGTTAGGTTGTTGTTGGCTTAAACATTAGGCATGAGTTTTCTCCATGATTTTATGAGGGTTGACGGTTTCACTGAGTCCCATGCAGATGCAATATCGTAGAAAACATTTTCCAAAACTCTTTCAGATCATAACCTTCTTCAATTTTGGTCATTAGCAGCTTGGTTCGGTATGTTCTCTTTATTGTTGCAATGACTCCTTAGTCTATGGGTTGGATTAGCGCAGTAACGTTTGGAGGGGGAACTTTGCAAAAATTTGCCCATCAGAAGACTTTAGCACACTTGTTGCTGGGAGAGAAGGTGCGTTGTCGATCAATAGCACAGCTTTTTCAGGCAGGTTTTTCGATTTAAGATGTTTACGCACTTGAAGAACAAAGATTTTTTTCAAACTATTTTTAAAAAATGTTTCGGTTTATCCATCCTTTTTTTTTTTTTTTTTTTTTTTTTTTTTTTTATGTTTTTGGTTAAAGTAATCAATGGGCAAAATTTTCTATCCTTGTGCCTTTGAAAGATCTCGGTTTTTTTTTGACTTTCCAATGACAACAAGTCTAAGTTTATGTTCACCGGTAGCGTTACTGCAAGACATGATAGTGATCCTTTCCTTGCTGCTTTTATGACCCGCCGCTTTACTTTCACTTTCAGATGCTAAAGTGTGACTGGAAAGATATTTCCACAAAAGTCCCGATTCGTTGGCATTGGTAAAATTGTAAATTTGTTCAAAAGATAGCTCTTCTTTTAAAACAAATTCTTCAAAATCATGGTGGAAATCATCGGCTGCTTGTTTGTCACCACTAAGTTTCTCCCCATGAAGTCCAATTTCTCGAATTCCAAGATTAAGACGAGAGAGGGCGGTGAAGCGGACTCTGCAAGGGTAACTAAGAAATCAATTACTTATCAGAGGGGAAGGTTCCGAGAAGGCCTGAGATATTTTTGCTGTAATAAGCACAATAAGCACAATATAATAAGCTTTAAATAAGCACAATGTTAGCAAATTTAACGTTTCACTCTGTTTTGTGAACATTTTTATTTTCTTTGCTTTACGCTTGTTAAAAAAAAAAAAAAAAAAAAAAAAAAAAAAAAAAAAAAAAAAAAAAACTTTGTGTGGCAGGCACGGATAATTGGGAGTCTACTGTACTTTAGAATATCCAGGCACAGGTAAATCCATTTTGTCAAATTAAAAATTTGTGATGATTTGGAAATGCTGAAGATAGATGTTGATAGGATCCTGAAGCAATATGTAGTTGGAGACATGGCCAGTTTTTAGTACTTCTTTTTATTTTCATTGACAAATATTTTCATTTAGCCAACACAAAATAAATTGGGGTAGCAATTAATGCAATTGTTTATGAAGAACTGCATCAGTATCTTTACAGTGTTGAAATATAATTTTGGAGACTCCTGAAGCTGCAGGCTAGGTAGCAAAGAAACAAAATTAAATGTAGATATTACATTTTCCAAGGGGGAAACTTAATTCAAAAGGATTTGAGTTAATTTTCCAAAATTTCCCTATATGCTGTTAAAAGTTATGTTAGTTATTTGAGTGTCATTTTGCAAAATTATCTGTGTCATTAACATTATATAAGAATCGAATGATATGGATTAATTTGGTAATGAGGCAATTTAGAGAAATTTATTATAAGCAGGTACTGTTTTTAGGATGGTAAGGGGAAAAAGCCAAGTTAAAATGGAGAGAACCTATTGCAAATTAAAGTTAAAATTTTGTTTTATGTATTTTTTATATTACACACACACAAACATGCACATACATATGAAACAAATTAAATTTAATTGGAAAAAATTTCTAACTTAGTTGGCAATAACCCTTTAAATTCTTAATTTTAATTAAATACACATATCCACCTATTTACATCATCATTTTCTCTGCAATGCAAAAGCTCGTGCCCAGTTGCTGTTCAGGATTTAAACAAAGGATCTGAGATTATGAATAACTCCATCTGCTTAAAACACATCAGTTTTTCACCTGCTCTCATTTACCTACATCCTGTTCATTTCTGTGCAGTAATCCTATTGTTTAAGATGCGATATGCGTATGTGGAATTGTGGGATGTAGATTGCACCCATTATGCTAATGTGATATCTGCAAAATGTGTTTCCAAAGAATTACTTTTCATGAAAATAAAATGTTGTTTTAACTGTTAAGCTAGTTGTACTCTTCTGTGTACTACACAGCAAATTCAAGCTGTCTTCTATTGTGTGAGAGCACCAAATAAACTATTCTTTCCAAGATTAGAAAATAATTGGTGTCTTCTCCACTAATTCTCATCATTATACACCCAAAAATAATACAAAAATTTGTTATCACCATATCCACCATGACTGTGATGCAACTGATTCTCTGATCGTGTCATTCCTAAAATGTTATGTAAACATATTAATTGACTTATGAAGCTTTAATTTATTTTCCCCTGATGAGTTCTGAATTGGAGTTTCAGTAAAAGAAGATTGGTTGATCTTTACATTATGGTAACTTGACGTTTTTTTTTGGCGAAAATTTGGCGACCAACCAACCTACAGCAACCCTTTTTTTTTTTTTTTTTTTTTTTTTTGTTTTTTTTTTTTTTTTTTTTTTTTTTTTTTTTTTTTTTTTTTTTTTTTTTTTTTTTTTTTTTTTTTTTTTTTTCCTTTTTTTTTTTTTTTCTTTTTTTTTTTTTTTTTTTTTTTTTTTTTTTTTTTTTTTTTTTTTTTCCCGCCGCCATTTTGTCTTCACGAAGTAAAGACATGTTTCTTTTCTTTTTTTTATCTACTGAACACTTCTTCCAACAATCTACTAGCCGAATTATACTTATGCTAGAAATTTTATCTAACAAAACTGCTTAATCATGACAAATATTCACTGCAAAATTGGGAAAAAGTGCACAATACCATACTCCTTACGCGTTTTTCAAAATAACACATACACATAAACCATGTACATACACGCCGACTTATTTTTTTACTTAAAAAAACATCCCAGAATTGCACAAAAATGGCATTGCTCACACTCTTCACTATATCCATGTACACTGCTTTTTTCTCATAAATTAGAAAAATTTCACGAATGACAATTTTCTCGACAATTTTCGAAAATACATGACAATTTTCTCAATCTTTAAACCCGGTAAAAAGAACATATATGAAATTACCTGATCACGAAAAAGTATTTACCCTTTCCAAATATGAACATTTCCACATATAAAATAAATAAAATATCCAAAAAACCTCTAAATCATCTATTACATTATACACGTCACCGACGAATTCATACCGCAAGCATTACAAATACTTAGTATCAAAAATTTAAATTATTTCCATGCACGTTTACTTCAACTTAAACGTGTACCAAATTCCTACAAACATAAAATTCACAAAATAACTATCATTTAATTAAAATATCACTAAACCATGTACACGTCGACTTTATTTTACTTGAAAAAAACATCCCAGAATTGCACAAAAATGGCATTGCGCACACTCTTCACTATATCCATGTACACTGCTTTTTTTCTCATAAATTAGAAAAATTTCACGAAAATACATGACAATTTTTCTCAATCTTTAAACCCGGTAAAAAAGAACATATATGAAATTACCTGATCGCGAAAAAGTATTTACCCTTTCCAAATATGAACATTTCCACATATAAAATAAATAAAATATCCAAAAACTTTTACCTCTAAATCATCTATTACATTATACACATCACCAATGAATTCATACCGCAATCATTACAAATACTTAGTGTCAGATATTTAAATTATTTCCATGCACGTTTACTTCAACTAAAACGTATACCAAATTCCTACAAACATAAAATTCACAAAATAACTATCATTTAATTAAAATATAATTAAATTCAAAAACACTACTTAAAATATAAATGAGCACATACATTAAATTTATACATACATAAATACCCATTTTGAATTCACTTTAGTTACGGCCATGGGATCCAAAAATTCATGAACACTGTTTCACACAACACAGAATAAAGCCAAATACAAAATTTCCAGATTTTTTCCCGAATTCCCCCTTTTTCTGATTAAAGAACCGTAATTCGTCCATTAATATCACATGACATATCCCATGATCTCTCATTTCCCTCACACAAAATAATGCGTAATCGGAACTGAGTACTGCTCACATTATTACCAAAGTCCCAGGTAGTAACCTTTATCGCCTCCAAAATGTTGCCAAACTACCAGTTACCATATTGTAAAGATCAACCAGAAGATTAATTTTTATGTTTTTATAATTTTGTATATTTTTCCTTTTCATATTTTTATTTTTTGTCTTTGTTTTACGAATGAATTCTTATTTTAATTATATATATATATAAACATACATACACAAGATAACAAAATATATGAAACTCAAAATTACAACTTTAATTTGGCTATGTTCCTTTCCTGTCTTTAAAATACTAATACACTGCTGGCCATTAAAATTGCAACACCATTTTAATATTTAATTTTTTCCCCTCCTGATGATTAAAGTAAATTACATTCTTAAGAGTAAAGAATGATTTACTGTCACAGATTTCATGTATTTGCTTTAGTAGTACATTTAAATAATTTTCATTTATTCATTTTACTATGAGTAAAGGCTTTCTTAATTTTTGTTTCTATTTTTTAAAAAAATTCTTAAAATTTTAAAAATATATAGCATAAATCAAATGGTGTTAATATTTAATGTATGTAGTTACTTTTTATCATAATTTTTGTTGTTAAATATTTTGAATGGAATTTTGTTTGTAATTTTTAGGTCCGTTTAATTCTAGTCTGTACATTGGGCCCATTTCTGATCGTTGTTGGAATTCTTCTGAGTTTCCGATACTGTAAATCGAATAATTTGATATATAATACTGTTGGTGCCAACAGCAGTTTACAGAAGGCATGTCGAATGTACTACATCTGCAGCTCCTTGCTGAAATTTGATTTGCAATTACAAGTTAGTGCTTTTTAGTTTTGATATCTGAGTATTTAATATGATACATAATGTAGCCGAAAGTTTCTAAGCATTTCTTAGTTTCAATGGATTCATTCATATATAAGGATTTCATTTGCCTAACACTATAAAAGCAAAGATATGATGTCAGTGTTACTTGCACTAAACAAACAAGTGAAAAAACATTAACAAACATATGCTGATTATGAGAAAACTTTCAATTTTGCGAGAAGTTCATCTTGACTTCAATTATTAATTTTTCCGATCTGAATAGCTGCTTCACCTAAAAAGAATTAAAAAAAAACTTCAAGTTATTCAGAACAGATTTCTGCAGATTATGAGAAATGTGCATTGTTATATGTGTATTTTATGATTTGCATAATTGCTAGCCATTTCAAATGCAGAAAGAACTTTTATTAGAAAGCAATCAATTGTACCAAAAATGATAATTCTTATGTACTGAATTATGAAATATTTAACTAAGAATTATTATGTTTTAGTTGTACACTTACTAAGAGATCATAACTTGATACTTAACATATTAGCGCAACTACCTTGATGCAGTTTAGCTATTTTTTACAGAAAAAAAAAGGTGGGATTTATATTTGCTATATATATATAAGATATATATATTTTACATTTCAATTACACTTTTCTCACAGAAATTAATCAATAAACCTACTTATAAGAAAGTGTCTGTTTCTTTTATTCTGGTAGAAATTTGGTGGCTATTGTTTGAGAATAGCTTCAGAGTAGCTGTTACTTATAGAGATTTTGGTGGCAAAATATTTTATTCTTGCAAAACCGTGTGGGGAGGAAGATATTTTGTGTAATATTATTGCAGTTTCTTTTATTACAAGCAAATCCCCCAATCACATACATTAAAATTGAGTTAAGTAAAAAAAATTACAGTTTGTCCTAAAAGAACTGTTAGAACATGGAATGCATATGGAATATGGCAGCATTAATTGTTAAAACTGAAAAATTATTGTTTTGCATACATTGCAAGAGTTTGCTGCATTGAAAAAATTTAGCTACTTCTGTTAAAGTTGTTGCACCAGTACCTATAAAGTAAGTACCTATAATTTCATAATTTAGAGCTATCTTGTTAAACTAGCTTTGAACAACTGTTTACAGTTTTTTAAACTATTAATATTGTTTACTTGTATAGAAAATATTTTGTATTATATTTATTTGCATTCTTATGTTCTTGTATATATTCAAAATTCTTAAATCTTTTTCATTGTGGTGTTGCAAGCTAAAGTAGTAACATTTTATATATTAACTTCACTGGACATGATGCTAATACATTCTGATTAGACTATTTCAATCATCATTTCTGAAATCAATTCAGTTCGTGCTGTCTTCTGTAAGATTATTTATTTGTCTATTATTTATTTATTTTATTTTCTGATTACAAGCTTAAAAGCAAAGCTAATTAAGATGCATATGATGTTTTGATTTCCTTTCTTTTTGCAGTGTGAAGAAGAGAAAAGGGGGTTGCTAGCATACGGAAGATTTAATATTTTTATCTGCTACCTTTGTACCCCACCCTTTCCTATATTTCGAGCAGCAATTATCTATTTGATAGGTGCTTTCCTTATTTGCAAATGGTCTCTTTTACTTTTCATTATATTTAACCTTAAAGAGAAAAATACTTACTAGACATACTAATGTCAAGTTCTAGTAGTGGTGTATTTGTTCAGTGAGTGAGTAATGCCTTACTTTGAGTTAATTTTTTGCAAGCATTTTTGGTATCAGATATTAGCACTTTAGAAGTGTTTCACAGTTATGATGATGAATCAATACACATTTAAGTCTTTTGATATCACACATTATAGTTGAAGCTTAGAATTAAATTATTCATTTAGGGAATTTTGCATACTTAAATGTCTTCTAGAAGGGATATGATTGTAAAGTAAAAATGTCATGGAAATACCATAACCAACCATCAGCCTTGTAGAATGAGAACATTGATAGATTAAGGCTTAATCTGTCAGTATTCTCAGCCTAAAGGATAAGAATTGTGTAACAGCTTTGGCTACTGTTTAAAGTGATTTTTGCTTCAGTGTGTAAATAAAAGTTAGCCATAGTTAGCCATAGTATTGTTTGCCTTTAAATAGTAGCACCATATGTTGTATATATATATATTAAATCACCCATTGAACATAATTCATAATTTAATTGTTGGTGCTGCTGTTGAGCATCTCAAAATACTAATGATGTTTTCCTAAATCCTAAGCACTGTCATTTCATGCTGCTGTTTGAACATGGAATCAATTGGTGGAAATCCTGTGGAATAACGAATTATCGCACATACCTTAACCTTAACATTTCTCTAGTTGCATATGGGCATATTAAATGCCTGAAAGGCTGCATTTATGAAAATGTATTGTACTCTTGGTGAAATTTAGAGAAGTCGGCATAATAGTACATAGCTGCTTTTTCTTCTAGTTTGGAGTTCATTCTTTTGAGTTCCAGGATCTTTAATGCTTGTTATCTATTAAGACATAACATCAATGGGAATTAATATTTTCTTAATTCAGTACAGCATTGTACTAGCAGTCATAACACTGCATTTAAAAATCACAAAACAATCTCGGGCTTTGCATTTGAGTATACATAAGTAAAAAAGTTTAACTTGCTAACTGCAATTTCCATACAAAAACCGAGCGAGTATATTCTTTAGGAATGGAACTTAGTTGCATTATGCTACAGAATGAGTGAGGAAAATATTCTTTAATTTAATGGAAAGTTAATCCTAAAGGGTAGCAGTCATAATAATAGCATGAAGAAGTTCAGCTTCTTATTAATAATACCACTTTTGCTTTATGAAACATAAACAGCTATTGTTGCATGACTTTTGGCTACATTGTGAATATATTAATTTTGAAACTTCTAAGAAATTGTGTTTTTCTGCTATATGCTAAAATTTTGTATTTTTTAAGCTGTTTTTAAGAGTTGTTTAGTGATCATTTTCTGTATATTGTTAGAAATTATATATTATAAAGATTTTGAAACATGTTTATTCAATTTGTATTCAGTAGTTTTTTTAATTGCATTTGTAAATAAAAAAACTGTTTTTCTTTTTCTTTCTTTTTTAAATACTTCTATTGCATGTATATCTAAAAATTAAGTTTTGAAATTTAATGAAGTAGTTTCCTGTGATTATTACCTAGCAGCATTTCATACCAAATAAAATGTTAGAAAAATATTTAATCGTGTGAACTCCCATATTTATTAGGTAAATATCTGTTCACTGTGGCATATAATCCAATAGTTCAGTCATCTTGGGTGGAGATGGAGAGCATTCATAAATCACAACCAATAAGTTATTAAGAAATGAAGACTAATTAGCACTTCCTTGAAACTGGATTTAAAAAATACTGAGAATTGAAAACAGTGATGCTTGCCATGGTTAAAAGCATGCATTTTATTAAATATTTAATGATACAAATTTCGAAAAAAAAAATGCAACACTTGATGATTTGAATACGAAAGCTACCCTGGTTTTGACGATTTGACATCGGTAGTTATTTTATCTTGATTTGGTAGACAAAATTGACAACTACATTGTTCTATTATATTTTATTATATATACCAAGATAAATCACGGTAATGCAGCAACAAAGCAATGTCCACCAACAGTTAGATAACATAAAACACATAGAATATTTTCTTTCAGCCCTTATTGTGAAAAGTTGCAACACTTCGATAACTTTTAAGCATGAATAAGTGCTTATTACTTTTAATCTTTTTTTTTTTTTTTTTCCATATGGCCACTCAGAGTGCTTCTGCCTCATATTATTCCATACTAAAAAGGTTAAAACAACTGAGTTATGCGAAATTAAACGTGTATAAAATTTCCTGTTTAGTTTTATGAATCTTCTTAAATTAAAAATTTCAGAAAATTATGTTGTATCATGTGTAACCTTATTTTGAAGCCTTAATGAGTTTAAAGATTTATGTGAAAAAACTTCTGTTTTCTCATGATAATTGTAATATTATTCAAAAACAAACATAATATGAGGAAAAAGAGAAATGAATGCAAAGATATTGGAGAAGCTTGTAATATGAAGATAAATTTATTGATCTATCATGTGTAAAATAGTAACAAAAAATAATATGCTTTTTTTATATTTTAGCTGAGTATGGTGATACTGGTAATGGCCAGAGGTGTTATTGACATGTCACTTAGACAAAAAGTCATCTTAGCCTCAGGTGTGCCCATTTCTTTTCTTGTCTTCATTCTTGGTGTTCTAGGTGTAAGTATCTTCATCATGTGCATTAAGAGGGTTATATTTTAAACATATTACTTCATATCACATTGATCCTACTCATTTCTAAAGTATAATGCCAATGAATTCAAAATCGGGAAGAATTTAATGCTAGCATTATGACATTTTCAGTTCACCTTGAGTTGCAGTTTGTGTTCATTTGAATTTTGTGTTCCCATAAATTACTTTTCTTTCAGTGTAATAGTTGGTCCACCTTCTTCTCGCAAAATATTTTGAAGAGGAAGTCTTCCAAGTGAATTTTCTGAAATAATTTTCTTTTTCCACAATGTTGCATCAATTGTAATTTTCTTATCTTTTGATTCATTTTTTTTTCATCTTTAAAACACATGTTAATTTTGCTTTCATTTAAATGAAGTTCTAAATATATAGTGGACTGGATGAATTTCCAGTGCACTATTTATTTAGAAAAAAATATATGCCATGTTTATACGAGGGTTGGTGAAAAAGTTAGTTGCACTGTCAAAGAAAACAAAACAGGAGCAAAATTTTACAATAAATTTACTTATATCTTAAAGTTCCATTCAAAATCTACTTTTCAGCGTAATTACCTCCGTTATTTAAGCATTTGTCGAGGCATGGTACAAGTTTTTCGAAGCCTTCTGCGAAGAAATCCTGTTCAATGTCCGATAACCATTGTTGGGCTGCAGCTTCGGCATCCGATGGTATCATCGGAAGTATCTTCATCATGTGCATTAGGAGGGTTATATTTTAAACATATTACTTCATATCACATTGATCCTACTCATTTCTAAAGTATAATGCCAATGAATTCAAAATCGGGAAGAATTTAATGCTAGCATTATGACATTTTCAGTTCACCTTGAGTTGCAGTTTGTGTTCATTTGAATTTTGTGTTCCCATCAATTACTTTTCTTTCAGTGTAATAGTTGGCCCACCTGCTTCTCGCAAAATATTTTGAAGAGGAAGTCTTCCAAGTGAATTTTCTGAAATAATTTTCTTTTTCCACAATGTTGCATCAATTGTAATTTTCTTATCTTTTGATTCATTTTTTTTTCATCTTTAAAACACATGTTAATTTTGCTTTCATTTAAATGAAGTTCTAAATATATAGAGGACTGGATGAATTTCCAGTGCACTATTTATTTAGAACAAAATGTATGCCATGTTTATACGAGGGTTGGTGAAAAAGTTAGTTGCACTGTCTAAGAAAACAAAACAGGAGCAAAATTTTACAATAACTTTACTTATATATTAAAGTTCCATTCAAAATCTACTTTTCAGTGTAATTACCTCCGTTATTTAAGCATTTGTCGAGGCATGGTACAAGTTTTTCGAAGCCTTCTGCGAAGAAATCCTGTTCAATGTCCGATAACCATTGTTGGGCTGCAGCTTCGGCATCCGATGGTATCATCGGAAGTATCTTCATCATGTGCATTAGGAGGGTTATATTTTAAACATATTACTTCATATCACATTGATCCTACTCATTTCTAAAGTATAATGCCAATGAATTCAAAATCGGGAAGAATTTAATGCTAGCATTATGACATTTTCAGTTCACCTTGAGTTGCAGTTTGTGTTCATTTGAATTTTGTGTTCCCATCAATTACTTTTCTTTCAGTGTAATAGTTGGCCCACCTGCTTCTCGCAAAATATTTTGAAGAGGAAGTCTTCCAAGTGAATTTTCTGAAATAATTTTCTTTTTCCACAATGTTGCATCATTTGTAATTTTCTTATCTTTTGATTCATTTTTTTTTCATTTTCAAAACAAATGTTTTTTTTATTTTCATTTTCGTATTGGACTATGGGCTTTTTTCCATGCCTTTGTTGTCTTTTTTTAGACCATGACTACTTCCTCTTCCTTGACTAAATTCGTGCTAAATTCAAGGCTTAATTTTTAAGCTCCTCAACTTCCTTTTGCTAGAATTTAAATTTTGGAATTGATACAATATGGAAATGATGACGGAATGCATGTTCTACCATGGAACCATGTGGTGAAATATTGTGACAATTTTCTTTTTGAAGGAACAATGGAACCATCATCTGATGAATTGGAATCATTTGTAGTTGAAATAATCTATTCTTCATCGGATGAAGTATAATTAGTTTCTTTATGGGAACTAATACCTGACCCAGAATTGTCATTAGATAATTCTTATAAACTTTTACCAAATCTTCATGTGGTAGACATTTTCTTGAAACAGTTCTATGTGACATGACTATAAAAAATGTGTTTAGAAGCGTCAAACAGTTGCAAGTGAAATGAAGGTGTAACACAGAACAAAGCAAAGAATTTACTAAATCATTTAGACAGAAAACGAGAAACCTGTATGGGACATTATTGCTTTGGGAAAGGAGTGTATCACTCTATTCCAACCAGCTATAGTGTAGTATCTAGTGTGAAAATAATAATAATAATAATAAAGAAATGGCATCAAGCTGCTACGTCAAGAATTAGCCTTTAACTAAACTAAGAAGAGCTGTCAAAATGATGGCTAGCTGTAATTCTAGGTGTATATAGTTACATAAAAGTAATAGTTATTTAAAACAGGCCAGATAAATTTTTTATATCATGTTGGTATATATTTAGGGGAAAAAATGAAAATTCTTAAAAGGAAAATTAAAAAAATATGAACAGTTTAACCTTCTAAAACCTGGCTGAAATTCTCATAATATAGCCCTCAGACTGGCACAATCCAAAACACTTTTGCCCCTTCTTTGACTTTTTCTTAATGAGAAAAGTCGTTACAGTGGTCATTTGTCCTCTCCATGGATGCAGCAAAATTTACATGTTTGTCGGATGCTGTTCCATAGTCTAGAATGGGTTGCTAGATTTGCAATTTTTTCGATGTTAATTTTGCTTTCATTTAAATGAAGTTCTAAATATATAGTGGACTGGATGAATTTCCAGTGCACTATTTATTTAGAACAAAATGTATGCCATGTTTATACGAGGGTTGGTGAAAAAGTTAGTTGCACTGTCTAAGAAAACAAAACAGGAGCAAAATTTTACAATAACTTTACTTATATCTTAAAGTTCCATTCAAAATCTACTTTTCAACATAATTACCTCCGTTATTTAAGCATTTGTTGAGGCATGGTACAAGTTTTTCGAAGCTTTCTGCGAAGAAATCCTGTTTCAATGTCCGATAACCATTGTTGGGCTGCAGCTTCGGCATCCGATGGTATCATCGCTTTGAAATTTCTTGTTTCATGGGACCAAACATATGGAAGTCAGGAGGTGAAAGGTCTGGGCTGTAAGGAGGGTGATTCCACACTTCCCATCTAAACTTTTTCAGAAGGTCACATGTTTGTTTTGCTGCATGCGGTCTTTCACTGTTATGCAGGAGCACAATGCCGTTCGACAGTTTACCTGGTTGTTGATTTTTAAGTGATTGTCGCAATTGTTTTTGTGTTTCACGTTAAGAAGATGCATTAATTGTGGCACTCTTCGGCATGAACTCTGTATGCACCACGCCTTCTCTGTCGAAAAAACAGCGTCATCATCACCTTTCCTGCAGATGGAGCAGTTCGGCACTTTGTACGTGTTGGGGAACTGCATGTTTCCACTCGAGTGAGCTGCATTTCATTTCAGGTGAGAAGAGGTGAATCCAAGTTTCATCTCCAGCCACAATTTTGTCCATAAACTCATTTCCTTTCCTTTGGTAACATTGCAGAAATGCAAATGCATTTTCAAAATACTTTCCTTTTATGTTCCTCTGTCAATAGATGTGGGACCCATCGAGCACAACTTTATGAAATTTAAGGTGATCGGCAATAATTTTACACACACTTTCATTAGAAATATCCAATTCATTTGAGATTTCGTCTATTGTTATGCGTCTGTTTGCAAGAATGCATTTATTCACGTGAGCAGCGAGTTCCGAATTTGTTGCAGTTGATGGTCTTCCTTTATGCTCAGCGTCATCAATATCTGTATGTCCATTCTCAAACATGTTGCACCATTTCGCGATAGCTTGACTTGACATTGCATTTTGACCATACACTTCATGTAACTGCCTATAAATTTCAGTTCAGTTGTACCTTTTTGCCCACAAAAAAAAAAAAAAAAAATCACTGCACGCATTTCCAATTTGGACGCTATTTGCAGCTGTCAAGACATGTTTGTGACTGATTATCAGAAAAACTAAACTTGCCTCGGGGAAGCTACTACATGCGATATAGGTACATGTCTGAAGTGTTGCCACGCAGCGTCATCCAAATAGTATTAGATGGAACATATTTACGCAGTAGTGCAACAAACTTTCTGTCTGACCTACATATTTCATTTACTATTACTGATAAATCTCTGCAATAAATTTGTGAATTTTATAACTTTGTTTTCACAATTTATTTTTATTCGCACATTTTCTTATTAGACATTGAAAAACGGGAACAAAACTTTACAAAATATAATAAATACGAACTAGCTTTGCATGTCTGCAGGTTAAAATGCGGTTTGTAATTATATATTTTCATTAACAAAATAATGGTAATAAATAATTTAATGAAATAATAATAATAAATTCATTAATAATATTTGTTACTATTAGATGATTAGAATGAGATTCAATACAATTAGATTTTGAGATGAACTTACAGCAATAATAAAGCTTTAAATAAAAATAACAAAGCTTTAAATCTGCTTTTTTTGATAATTTTGTTATTATAATATAAAAAAAAAAAAAAAAAAAAAAATCAGAGATACATTGGTTGTGTTTCATCATTTAACCTTTAACAAATATTACATTGGACTAGCAGGCAAAGGAGGTATATCTTTAAAGAGAATTTTCTTTGTAAAATTGGCTTTTGTTTATGTTAGCAGGAGGGAAAAAATCTGCAACCTATACATGTAATCATCAAAAGTATTTTTCAGAACAGTTTTAAATGTTTATAAATAATGAAATGTCAATTTCTTTTCATAGGCAGAAATTTCATCTAAAACCATCGTTATATCCAAAGGTTGAAGTCTATTTGATTTTCAACGAATATTCTATTTGCACATA